AGTTTATATGTATAATACATACATATAAACTTTCCTCTTGAATCACTATCTAGTAAAAAAAACGCATCAAGATCCGTTGAGTAGTTTAATAGATCTAAGCATACATAGGGACAGACAGACAGCGGGACGACTTTGTTTTATACTATGTGGTGATGTTTGTTAGCCGTGATAGCTCAGTGTTCGGACGCTCGCCTTTAATTCAATATATTCTAGCAAACTGCGTTCGATCCCCAGTGCCGGCACCAAAGAAATTGTTAATATTAAGTGCAGAATTATCAGTTGCTTAGGTGGTGACGGAAAAAATTGTTAGGAAACCTGCATATTTACGAAATAATAATTTAAAAAAAATAATTCTCGAAAGTATTTTTGTTATAACTGATGTTACGCTTTCTGTCCTTAGACTATTAAAGCTTCATCGAACGCAGAACCGGTGGGCTAGCCAGAATCCACGGGTTTGAGGCCCTCCTCAGTGGGTGGGGCCGCGCATGTACTCATGCGTGCGTTAATTATGGCGTGTCGCCTACGGGCCATCGAGGTTCAGTGCGGACCGTGACCCCGATGGCCTTTCACTGCGCTTGGTTAGTCGGTGGCTGGGGGCGGTGAGAACCGCCTAGTGTGCGCGTTGTGTTGGTTCGAAGTTATGTGAAGTCAGCTATCGGCAGTAGGGCCGCGTGGTGGACTATGCCTTTATAGATGTTTTGGTGGCTCCGTGGCGCAGTTGTCAAGGTATTGGCTTCGGCGTCGGGGGTCGTGGGTTCGATTCCCACACGGGACAACAATTTGTGTGACTCACAATATAGTTGTTTCGTATCTGGGTGTTTGTCCGCGTGAAATTTATGTTTGTAAAACGTCCTTACAACACAGGATAATGTTATCCTAAAGTAAGGGCAATGTTTAAAAAAAAAAGAAAACGATGGACTATGCCCTCTGGACAGAGGAGGCCTTTGCCCAGCACTGGGACATGTATAGGCTGACACTATTGACTATGTTTGTTAAATAATATAATCCCTAATAAACTAAGTCGCCTTGAATCAACAATATTTTTTTCTACCGTTTTATATTATTTAAATTATTGGAAACTTAAAAAAAATATCGTAATGTAACACTAGTTTCGAGTGCTCTTTCTGCACTTACAAACCCTTTGCAGTTTTTGTTAAGTCCGCATAGACAATACGTAATATTTAATGTTAATAAAAACCTTAGTAACGATACAATTAAAATACGCAATTCCACATACGGATGCTCATTATCACATTTTGCCCCTAGTTTTCTTAACTCATTTTAGTTATTCAAATGCATTGTTGTAACTCCCATATTTACACAACCTAATTACTAATTATTTACCTTTACATTTTATCTATTCCTGGTAATTTGAAAAATATCATTCGAATATGATGGTAAATTTCGCCGCGAAAAAAAATGTTATAATAGCTCGGTCGATAATCGGGCGGCCCCAAAACAGACGGCCATAGTTCGTGTCACGATCATTTACACACTCTTTTTTTTTTCACTTTTTTCGATTCCAGATCATTGCTTTCTTTATTTTTTATTTTTTGTTGATCCAGATGATTTTGCTATTTTTTCCCTTTTTTTAAAGTTGTTTCTATTGTGGAAAACACCACTTCATTTTTTCTTATTATTAGGTCGGTAAGATCGAAAAATATTATGCATATTTCATTACTCAGTAATTTGTATCTAAATGTAATTTCCAAAAGACACGATTTACCAAAAAAAAAAACAAGCCGAGCAAAGCTCGGTCCTCCAGGTACTATTATTTTACGTGTATACATACATAATTTACGGTGTAAAGCCGCCTCGCTAACGCAGAAAATTAATATATTGCGTTTCATTTCATATATTTTATCCTTACTGGTTGGTTATCTGCGTTGTTAAATTACTTACGTAAAGTAATATTCATCACGTCTGCCGCTGCTATACATAACTACCATCAAATAGTCAAGAGAAAATTGAAAATCATTGGCCATTGAAAGTAAAATGACGATGGAAGCTACTTTTCGATTATTAAACTATACCAACATTCAACGATATTAAGTCTAATTAATGGAAGCTGGAAGGTCTCAATAGAGTTGTACCCATTGTTTAAGTTCCATGCAGTATAAATTTATATTCTTAAAAACATATTTTAAACTTATATTTATTAAGACATCTAGATTAGCGTCAGTTTAGACTTTAGACAGTAGGTCTATTGTTAATTTTGGTTAATGGTTACTCCAAATCCAATTGAGTTTATTCAACCATGTCTTATATTATTCAATTTTCTTTGGAACAAACAAAAAGGCTTAAAACCTGATACACTAGGGGGATTAGAAACGTGGATGATATAAGGCATGACTGTTTTTGAACGATTAAAAACTTCAAGGTAGCGTTATCTACTGATAATCATGCTAATAGATAGTGTATTCTTTCGCGTTCGATGCCAAATTGTTAAACTTAAGCCTACAAAATTTATATAAATAAAATACAACATATAAATAATATTATGAATGTGCAATTTATTAAATTTGTATTCATATTTTGTACTGGGCTTGCGAATCCCACCATCAATAATGATATATATTATAGTTTATAATAAAAAAGTGTGTTTGTTCGTTTGTCCTTCTTTTACTTCGCAACGGAGTGACCAGATTTTTACGTGTTGAGATAGTTAGGAAGTTGGAGAGTGACGAAGGCTATTTGAATCACTCTACATAAAAGTATTACTGTGTTGGTCCTTCTTTAACTTCGTAAAGGATCTATGGATTGATATAAATTTAATTGGAAATATTATTTTAATACATAAATACTAGCTGTCCCGGTAAACGTTGTTTTGCAATATAAATTATTTGTAGGGTAGAAAAAAATGTTTGGGGTGGACCACCCTTAACATTTAGGGGGATGAAAAATAGATGTTGTCCGATTCTCCACCCTGGCCGATATGCAAACAGAATTTCACGAAAATCGGTCGTACCGTTTCGGAGGAGTTCAATTAAAAACACAGTGACACGAGAATTTTATATATTAGATTGATATGAATTATATGTATAGTTGGAAGACCTTTCTTACTTTCTCTTGCAATCCCTCGTGGACGGTGCAAACGTCATTCAAGTTGAGCCAAACGTAATTTGATGATTTTCGTCATTACACTAGGATCTTTTTTGATCAATATATTTTCGCGCTGGTCAGGCCTCTCATTTGAAACGCTTAAAGATTTTCTTACTTATTTGCTTTTAATCGTTTTCCTTTCTAACCGAAATCAAAAAGAAGAAGATAATCAATTCGGATATTTGTTTTTTTTTAATGTATTTTCAGGCATAACTTCGTCATATATAGACAGATTTGAAATATTATTTAATTGATCCCATTTAAATTTCATGCTGAGAGATGCCGAGTTTAGGAGATAGACAACGGAACTCTTCAAAAAACGACAGCAAATCAACGATTTAGTATTATTTTAAACTTTTTAGTGCAAGTATTTTTTTTTGAAGTCGGTTCTTTTTTTGTTAAAAAAATCTTTTATTTTATATTATTTTAAGTTTTCTCTTCTGTCGGTAGTCTGTAGAATTGAACTGTTAGGTACTATTTGTTTTTAATTTTTTATTTATGTAGTTAAGATATTAAAAACTATTTTCTGCTTATAGATTTGTCTAATTTAAATTATAACATGATAACGATGGGTGACAAGAAAATAAGAACTGAACAAAATAACACGGTGGCGCAAGATATAGACGAGAAATTTAGGGATAGCACGGAGGTAGCTTTTGGTAAGCAAATGATATTTATCTTTTTTTAAATACTGCGAAAAGTTAGGCTTCTTCTTCTTCGTGGTCTTCATTACTGAAGGTCGTGTCCGTCCTGAAAATTTTTAAGTGAATCGGCGACGAGCTGCTTCCACACCACTCTATCTTCGGCTTTCTTCAAGGCAGTGGAAAAGTTAGGCAATTGGTGTTAAAGTGCTTCACTCTCTCAAATGCGCAACATGGAAAGAATTGGTTTATATTCCAAAGAGGCGGAACTTGTTTAATTTTTGCGTAATTTGTATACGTTTCCTACGTATACATGCGCCCCCTAAATATTCCGGGACAATTTTAGAAGATGTATCACTACATAGTATAAAAAAAATTCGTCCCTCTGCCTGTCTGTCACTATGTATGCTTTGATCTTTAAGAACAAACATCGATCTTTATCAACGGCTTCGCACGGGGCGTTGATATTTTATGGTTTGTTGGTAAATATCACAAAGCATATCTATAACATTTGAATGTTTTAATTTGGTTATTTGCAGTTGAAGAAACTCGTCAACAAGTTGGCGAAACCACTACAGGAGGTGGCGAAAACCATCCACCTACGAATATGTTGCACATAGATCACAAAAGATCAGATCTTTCATATAGAATCTCGAATACATCTCTATTTTTCCAAATGCCTGGAATTAAGAGCGCAGACAACTTCACTTGCATTTTAATGAAGATACAAAGTGATTTAACAGCTCTTAGCAATAAACTGTCACAATTGGAAAATAAAATTAATTTCTAAAATCTTGGTAATTTTATTTACTTTTTCGCAGTTTTAAATGCGATTATTTAAGTTTTTGTTAAATTAAACATTATCAACCAAAATATACATTTTACTAAAATAAATAACTCTTCTACTATAATCTGCTAGTATTGTGTAACAAGTCAATCTTAACAAGCTAAAATGTATGTGCATGAATGATTTAATAAGTAATATCAATATTACAATTTTAGTTTACATTAATAAAAACTATAATATTCACAACTACCTGCATGAGGTATAATGTTTTGACTAGGAATTCGGTTTCCTGCAAAGCTGCATATGCATCTGTGATTAGTCTGATTAATTGCATCATTTTACATTAGAACTTATTACAGTTCATTTAAAAGCATCAAAAAAATAAACCAAATATAAAAGCAGACACCATAATAAATATTTTTGGTTATCTCAGACTATTCTCATACATGTGAAGCTTTTATAAAATATTAACTGTACATAACAAATTTCTCCCTTAACTTAAGAAAAACATTATACACATATAACATCAAAAGCGACCAGACATATTTTGTGTTTAGGTATTGCTTCCTGAGCAGTGACTTTTCTTTCTGAAAAAGAAAATTCAACCATATGAGCTTAATGTTACTTTTATATACTTAGTTCTTAGATAATAATTTTTAATGATAAGATCAGACTGGCTATTTCCAAAGTATCTCCTTCAACATACAAGGAGATTTTTTGAGAAGTGCCCAAATTTACGCAGGAGGTTCAGACTCTGTATAATCGTTTATTGAAATAAAAAACAGTTTTTTTTTTTCTCGAAAAAAATGCCATTCGTTTTAATGAATGTTATTAATTACTTATGAGTGATTTTAAATATTTATCATTTTTTATATAACATTATTTTTATCTAGAATTTAATTAAAACAAATGGATACACTTAAAAAAGCCTGTATACAAACAACTTGACTGACCTTATATTCAAGCTGGTAAATGCTCTTTGTGCAGCATTTGGTCATGACCATAAAACCACACATCCTTTCCTGCATTCCTAATGCATATTCAATGCTACGAATTAAATCATTTGTCTTTAAAACTAGCAGCGCCTCACGATTTACGTGCTCTAAGCATTGAGTTACATGGTGCAAGAAATTTGGTAACTCATTTTGGAATGTTGATTTCTGTAAGATAAACCATTACAAACACAATTTAGAAGGTAATGGTTAATAACTATTAATATACAATTCAATTACCGCTTCAATTAGAAATAACAACTATGTACAGTTTTGTGGTTTTCAAATGAATTGTAGTAGAGATAAGACAATTGGGTTCAATCAATATTCTTCATTTTTTCTATATATTAACAAACTATTATCGTTGTTCACTAAACTATTAAATTAATTCTTCAGTTGAATTATCTGTAATCAAATTATCTTTGTAATCAAATCTAGATAAAAACGTACCTCCTGTGAAGAGGGCTTCGTTCTATCAATACCCTTCATAATAACATCCCATGGCCTCCCAGTTACCATACAAGCAAATAAACCATACAAGTCTTTAGGTATGCCCAGTTCTTCTGCATGAAATTTCATCTCTTCCCTGTTCCTTCCTATTATTGACAACCATAATTTTGAATAATGGTATCGAAATTTCTCTGAGAGTTGCTGTAAGAATAAATTCAAACAATAAATAATGTGTTTATTCATCAGTGTGCTTGATACAATTGAATAACATCAGGGCCCGCCCAAGAAAACTAGTGATAAGAGAAACTCGGCTCTATCCTATGATTAACATTAAATTGAAAAAAAAATACAAAAAAAGCAAAATTAGCATATTATTTTATTGTAGTAGAAGCTACTACAAGTGAATTTATAAATTATTTTTATATAACGTAAATACGGGTAACGGAAAACGTTTTATGGTAGGTAATTTATATGTATGAAACATTAAAAGTTACTAATTTATTTTATAAGCACAAGTTATTTAGTTATAAAGTTTTTAATTTTCATATATTTTAGAATTATGCTAATTTTACTCTGTACTAAATCTACTAGACAAAATTTTAACTTATTTACACTTTTTAACATGTCTGTAGATTCAGAACATAAATTTGCAATTTCAAACCATTATCTAATATATAAAATTCTCGTGTCACAGGGTTCGAACTTGAACTCCTCCGAAACAGCTCGACCGATTTTTGTGATCCTTAGCGTGATTGTCGGCCAGGGTGGAGAATCGACCAACATCTATTTTTCATCCCCCTAAATGTTAAGGGTAGTCCAACCCTAAAATTTTTTTTTTATTTTTTAGGCAAAATTTTTTGTTTTTATTTTTTTATGACACAGCATACAAAAATACATACAACCCTAAATTTTCACCCCTCTATGCAGACGTAGTCGCGGGCAGCAGCTAGTTACATGATAAAAATGTTCTAGCTTTTCACAAAGCTTTGCCATTGTTTTCTTTAAAGCCACTTATCTACAACTTACAGCATACAAACCGTGGTCCAGCAAATATATGGTAACATCCTTGTCTCCAGGGTCTTTTTTCACAAGTATATTTCCTGGATGTGGATCACTGTGAACAAATCCACTTACGAAAATCATATGTGAGTATAGATCACCAAGTTTTAAACAAAGATCATATTTGTCGATTCTGCTGTTCTATAACAAACAAACATTATGTTTAAAATGATTTCATAATTATAAATGGAAGCAGTGAAACTAAAAATAAAAATTTATTAAAAATCAATACACTTACATCAATATATTTAACATCATTAACTTGACCTCCACTCACATATTCCATGACTAAGACTCTCTCTGTGCTGTAGTCCCAAAATATTTTTGGTACTTTCAACCACTTGTAGTCATTGAATAAAACAGATACTCTTTCTGCATTCCTACCTTCTTGTAAAAAATCTAATTCTTTTGTAATATTTTTCTTTGTCTCATCAACCAGCCACTGCATTTCAAAATCGGGAAATACTTTGGACATGGTGTAAATAATTAACTCTATCCATTTTAAATCAATTTTAGTATTTTTCTTAACAAAATGGTGCTGCACTTTGACGGCTACTTCCGTACCATCCTTCAGTTTAGCTCTGTGAACTTGCGCCAGAGAAGCTGTGCCAAGTGGTTCAGGGTCAAATTCAACAAATAGTTCATGAGGCTAAAAAAGAATATAATTGTTAAATACGCCATTGGACTAACATACAATATGACACTAAAATAAACAGTGCATACTCACATCCTGCTTTAAATCTTCTTTTATAACTTTGTATAGTTCCTCAATAGAATTCCTTGGGGCATCTTTATGCAAAACACGCATCGTCGTTACATATTCTGTGGGCAACAGGTAGTCGAGAGCTCCTACGTGTTGCCCTACTTTAATGTACACACCCTTATTTGCCCTGCATAATTCAAGCAATTTCTCAGCACCAATCAAATGAGCTTCACTTTTAGCTTGTATGTACTCTTTAGAACTTTTATCCCATTCTCTACTATATAACATCGTTTTGTAAGTTCTGCCTATTTCGATAGCAGTACATGCAGCTCTCGTAAGGCGTACAACAGCTAAAGAATCATAATCCGTATCGTTATATTTCATTGCAACAACAGCACCGCCTATTGCTACACCACCACAAAGTCCATATCTCACCAATTTAGATACATTTCTATACATCATTTTGATTGCTGAAAATACAATTTTTCATCACATTTTACTTAATCAATTATAATTATAAGCTTTTACACGGTTGTACGCCGAGACCTATTCTTGTATTTTAAAGTTTGATTTGACAACATGACAATGACATAAGACATTAGACATCCCATTCACACATCACACATATCCACAGAACTCTAATAATCTCAAGAGCACACATCATATATACCATTTTTTACAATTGAATTAGAGCCACAGACTAAGTCACGATTATACTAACTTTACTAAAGAGCACACGAAAAAGTTGAGATACACTACACTATAGCGTGTATGGCAAGTGGTATTACGTAATAATCCCTTCCAGGTTCCAAATCAAATCAAAGCAATTTTTTTTATTCATGTCAGCCGTCATAAAATATCTACAGCCATTTTTCATTAAATGTCCGTCCTTTCTTTGACAGATGTTTTTCTTGTCTGTGCATTTAGGCTCCGTACAAATACTAAGTTTACATTACATTTTATTTATTTAGTTTATTAATTTTAATTGTATTTAACAGATATTTTAATATTTTGGCACTGCATGTGCAATCACGTCGGGGACACCAGTTTGGGAGCCGGCAGGAGGGAATAATTAAGATGCAGTACAAAGAATAAGCCGCGTTGAGAAAACCCTTATCTGTTATTGTCACTCGTTGCTATAGTAATTTGTCAATATTAGGGTAATGCTAGACCGATAAGAGTAAGGGTGTACAAGATAAAAGCGGTGTTACACAGTAGCAAATGAATCGCCACAATATCTTACAACCTACTTAACTATTAAATATAAATGTTCATACTCCAACTTAAATGAATAACAAGGGGCATGTTATATTGATAGACCCATAGAATTAAATGATTAATAGTTTAATTATCACAAAAGAAATGTTTTGCATATTGTTTTCTCTTGTGCTACCGTAACTTTAGTTACATATACGCTATTCGCTTCAGTCGAGAAGTTTATAAATGTATAAGATTCCAAAGAATTGTTAATGCGTTGAGTAAACCTTCTTTGCATCACTTTAATAGGTTACCGTATTTTATACTATTATCTATTTTATACTAAACTATATTAAAAGGATAGCGTAATTAAAGAAAAAAGACGACGGAAACTGTTTGTTATTTTAGAGTAAGGATGAACAAATTCACTCAGAAAAACAATACCGGCACGCTTGACATAGACGACAACTTCTTGAAACAGAATGTGCAAGTCTAACTCACGATAGTGTGTGATTTTATACAAAAGGGAATGAAAAAAAAAGAAGGAAAGGAAAATTAGATTGGCACTCGTTAGGTTTAAGAAACAACTTTAATTTTATGAGTATATAACGTTTTATAAAATAATTGAAAAGGTACTCGTATTCAATTATTTTATCTTCTTCTTCTGCCTGGTATTCCTACTCATACTCTTCCACTTTATCCGATCTTCAGCATTCTCAGGGTTCAGTCCATTGGCTCTCATGTGCTCTTTCACGACATTCAGCCATCGCTTTCTTGGGCTTCCAGGTGGTCTAGCTCCTGGGGCGTGCGACGTGGCCATACCATCTCAGGCGCCGCTCTTGGAGCTTATCCGCGACGTCACGGACCCCGAGACTGCCTCGAATGAATGTGTTACGTATGTAGTCAACCTGCGTGACGCCATCCATCTTAGCATCTTCATCTCCATGACGTGAAGCTCTTGATTGTGTCGAGATAGCGCTGGCCAGCACTCGCTACCATACAAGTAGAAGTAGATGATGATGCTCTTGTACACCTGTCCCTTTTCAATTATTTTATATCAAATGCTAATTAAAACATGAAACAAGTACATATAATTACTTAATATTAAATTTATTTGTTGTCTTTGTCTAACCCACACAAATTAAAATATTAGGAAAATAATTGAAATCTGGTAATAAATCGAAGATATGAATGTTGCTTTGATGAATGAATAAATGATTTGAGATCCCTTGAATTTTGTTAAGTTTAAAGTTTTACTTGATACATCTTATAAGGACAAAAGACGGTATTTTTATTATTGAAAATTTTTTGAGACCATGTCTAACTTATAGTCCTGCATAATGTGAACTATTAATTAAAGACAAGACGTCCAGTGTTACTCTAGTGTACATGAGTTCACTTAGGGCACGTTATGGTTATTTAATAGTAGTGTAAAATATCATTGGCATAGACAAAGACTAAAATCGATATAGCTAGTAACACTTTCAACATCTATCTCCATCTTTCTTTCGTTTGTGTTCCGTTTCCGTTGACAGATCTTTTTAGGTTTGATCTCCCAAAATGAAGGCGAAAGGAGAGGTAAGGGCTTTTTAAAAGGCATGTTTTTGTTGATGAAAGTGATAATTCTTGTATTGAGCAAAAAGTTTTTGATGTTGTAAAGTAATGACCAGTGCTATCATGAGGAAGGGTTTAGTTTTAAGAAACCATGGGTTGCCTGATGCACACGTTGCCTCGCCGCGTTATTAAATTTACATGATTTTAAGTATTAACTCGCTGTTTATTATTTTAAAATTAAGCAATCATGCAAAAACTAAAAGTTTCAACTACAACTTTCAAAATACAGCTAGTCCTATAATCATTTTTAGTGATAAACAATTTATAGGTTAACTGAGGCATGTTATGATTCTGTGACTAAAAGTTATACTCCAAGCAATGCTTATTTATTCAACGAAATTTTATTTTATTTTTAGTTGAAGGAATATGAAGTCATTGGCCGTAAGTTGCCATCGGACAACGAGCCGAAACCGCCGCTGTATAAGATGAGAATTTTCTCCCCGGATCCTATTGTAGCGAAGTCCAGATTTTGGTACTTCTTGCGACAACTTAAGAAATTCAAGAAGACCACTGGAGAAATCGTGTCCATCAAGGTATTTATCTAAACAAGTTTATAATACATATAAAATATTACAGGATTTTCAGCATGTGATTATGAAATATATAGGTATTATTTGCTTTTAGTTATTTATGTCTTATCTGAATGTAAGCCTCGGCAAAAATTGAATCACTAACAGGGTGAAATTTTGTAATGCAATGTAATCAAATTTGCTTAACACACCTGGGAATTGAACCAACTAAAATCTGTAAAAATTACACCCTGTACTTGATCCTAAAAATCAAGGCATTAAAAGTAGAGTGTAATTTTTACATGATGATCTAATTTTTAAAGGATTTTTACACATAAGGATGAAATCTCTAAGAAACTTGATAAAATAAATGGAAGGAAATCACTATTTTTTTTTTAAAGAAAACTATAAGGGACCTGTGAATTCTACTTTGAGCATTAATTCATTAGTCATTTTTCTCTTTAAATTTATTTTAATTGAATTATGCGAACATCCATGTCCTTTACATTAACCAAATTCTTCAATGTTTGTTTTTTATTAGTGCGGAATTATGAGAAATGTTGTTGTCTTAGTCCACATGTACAAAGGTGATTTAAACACTTTCAAGTATCAAGTATCTTGAAGTATCCAGTATTTCTATTTCTTAAGAAATGAGTTAAATGATTTCCTCGAGCAAGAGCTAAACCAAAAGTCCTTGCAAGCTTGCAGTCCTTGCAAACTGAGAGATGGCTCCAGCCCATAACAGCAGAATCACTACTGCCTATATTAATGACCATTTTAATACCTGGATTGGTATAAACGGCACAATCATATGCCCTGTGAGATCACTAGATCTCACCGCTTAAGCTTTTTTTGTGGGGATATGTGAAAAATGAAATTTAAATCAAATGTTATGTGAATGTCAAACAAGCTGAGAGTTCAGAATATGATTTATAATATTCACCAACAACACATTATTAAAGGTTACTAGAAATGAATTTGTTAGAAGAATACATTTGTGTATCAAAAGAAAATGTAGCCCATTTCAAGCAACTAATTAGGTAGTTTACCATTTTTGTAAATAATGTAAGATTTCATGGTTTTATTTAATTTAGTTTATCAAGTTTCTTAGAGAGATTTCATGCTTATAATTGATCTTAACAATCAATGCAGATTTTGCAAGCAAATTATTGAAAATCTTTGAATGCAGTTTTCAAAAATAATGGAATGTTTATTTTCTGTCTACACTATTAAGAGTACTTTCCCTTCAGGTGGCATTACAAAATTCCACCCTGTATATTCATTAATTGCCCTGCAACATATTTTTCCTTGGTCTTATATTTGTTTCTGGCAATACAGGAAGAAATATTTATCATCTTATTTCTTATTGAGAACCATCACCAGAATCTGGTTGAACTGATTGAACAAATAAAATGTCAATTTGTATTACTGTACTGTGTGTCTGTTTATTTTATTATATTTATTTTATTTGTCAAAATGTCAATGATATCTTATATACTTTTTTAAGCAATGACTAACACTACATTTTCAACTGCAGGAAATCCCAGAAAAAAGCCCAATCAAGATCAAAAACTTTGGCATTTGGTTGCGCTATGAGTCACGTTCTGGTGTCCATAACATGTATAGGGAATATCGTGACCTAAGTGTTGGTGGTGCAGTTACACAGTGCTATCGTGATATGGGTGCCCGACACAGAGCACGTGCACACTCTATACAGGTATAGATTTTATTGTCACAGTACTATATACTAAAGTCAAGTAACGGCATAATGATACTACTGTATACAATACCCTACTCTATATAATAATACTACTATTGTGTGAACTTCACAAAGGATTCTATTTTACAACTACTTCTTTTATTTCTGCATCACCCTTTAAGTTGACTGGTAGAAAATGCCTCATGTTGCCAATATACAATGTTTATGTAAAAGTTTATTAAAGAAATAATATGAAATCATTTGTTCTATTTTTTTATGTAAGGAGGTGGCAAGCTAAGTTGCAGTTCACCTGATGTTAAGTAATAATGGCCACCCATAGGGTTGCGATCTTTTAATAAAGAGGTCTCTGGTTACCTTTCTAACCGGCAAAATGCAGAAGTATAATACTTCATTCTGGACTTCTGTGGAATTGTGGCACTTCCGTGGACACATATGCCTATTTATGCAATAGGGAAAACTGTTGCACAGCCCTTTAACGGCCGGACAGATTTTGATGAAAAGGTTATTTTTTTATTGTACAAGTTGTTATTGGATGTAAAATGTGTTTTTGAGACATCTGTCAAGTCCACTAAAATAAAATTTTGCATTGCAGATTATCAAAGTGGAAGTAATCAAGGCATCTGCATGTCGCCGGCCGCAAGTAAAACAGTTCCACAACAGTGGCATCAAATTCCCGCTGCCTAAACGTGTCCACCACCACAAACGGCTCAATACCTTCGCATACAAGAGGCCCAGCACATATTTCTTGTAATTTTTATCTATGCGATTGTAATAAAAGCCATGTGAAGTGGAATAAAGTGTATTTTTTTTACGAGTGTCAAAATAAATTATTCTTTATATTGATAACTATTACTATTGAATATTTCACTTCATACGAATTTTAAATTGGAAGGTCTAATATAACAGGATTAATCTTTTATAAGTAGATTTAGTTTCTTGCATTATTAAAATAAAGTACCGAAGTAAAGATATATATGTCCCACTGCTGGGCAAAAGCCTCTTCAATCTGATATTGTGCATTGTTTGCCGCACCCCTCTAACTAGTGTAATATTTTTATCTCACGCTCTTTGTCGCTTGCTACGGCTCAAGGTTAAATAAAAGAATTAATAATTCTTAAAGATATCGTAATCGTTGATACCATGCTTGGTATTTAAATGAAACGGATCTTAATTGCATACTGTTACGATTCAAAATTACTTAAATTATTCATAAAATCTTTAAAAATCTGTTAATATTGTTGCCGTACTGCTTTAACAAATGTAAAATTTGTATCTCATGACGAAGCTGTCGCTCGAAATCTGTTTAAAAATCTGATATTGTGCATTGCTTGCCGTACCGCTCTAACTAGTGAATATTTGTATCTCACGCGCTTTGTCTCAAAATCTGATATTATGGCAAACGCGTATGATATCGCGATTCGCGTTGGTATAGCGAGTAAGCGAGTATTCGGTACATAAGATTTCGGAAATATCAGATATTAAATACATAGATTTTGAACGAGCCAGTAAGCGATTTTCGGATATTCTATCAATATATAGTTTTCATATCTGTATACGATTTCTATCGCCCACTTCTATCACACTCGCGTGCAAAGACTATACGGTTAATCTTGCGGTTCCAGAAATTGATATCAGCTCAACTTTTCTAGCAAAAAAATAAGAAACTGCATTTTATAATCTATGATTTATGTTTATCTCAAGTCGTATATACAGCGTGTCTTTACAATCGCGACAATAAATGAACACATATAGGGGATAACTTTTTAAAATTGTATTAAACCCGGGAGTAACACTTGATCTATAAAAGTTTTACCTTTGAATGTCCCAACCTTCTGGTGGTAAGCGCAACAAATTACCAACCCGACAAAAACGCGAACGTCAACAAGCGTCGCCCGCGAAACGTCCTAATCGACCTGGTAGAGGAAGGGGACTTAGACACGCCGGACCCACTGCCGGGGGTCCCGCCGGACAACACTACACCCACCGTTAGTGCAACAACAAATACACTAGTTCGCCCTCGCCTCCGAGCACGGCGAGACCAACACAACGCGTACACAAGGTACACCCGCGTTCCGGGGCGGTTCTCACCGCCCCCAGTCCCACCGCCACCGTAGACGGCCATCGGGGTTTCGGTCCGAACCACGACCTCGATGGCCCTTAGATGACACACCATAGTTAAACGCACGCATGAGCACATGCGTGGCTCTACCCACAGCGGAGGGTTGACCCGTGGGTTCTGGCTAGCCCACCGGTTCTGCGTCAGAAGAAGCTTTAATAGTCTCGGGACTGAAAACAAAAACATCAGTTAATACAAGATACAAGAGACCTTTGAATGTTGAATTTTATCAGAAAAGTTGATTAGATTTAATAAAAAAAATATTGTGTTATATGAGTATTGTGTTTAAAATAAATAATTATGTATGAATTGATTCAAATCTTAATGAATTATGGAAAGAGGTGTATTTCCGCGATAAAAAGTAATCTACTACATCATTCTCCACTTTTCTATCAAATAGCCTATGATGCTCTTAAACCTTCTTCAAACTATAAATAGAAATGTAGTTGCATTTATTAGCAATATTTTTTTTTATGAGCAATAATCGCAGATAAGATTTCAAACAGCCATCGAATTCAATTTTCTCCCTAAGAACCCACCACGGAATAGCGTTATTTTCTCTATTCAGTTTATTTTGGGGCGGACGGGATCTTATGCGTTTATTGTTGTTGTCCTTTACCCCCTTAAATGTGCGTCTAAGCATAAGCCGATACTATTTGGTGCTAAAATCAGCTCCAAGCTCAGCAAAACTCCACCGTAATCTCACTACAAAACACCGTAAAACATTAACACCGCGAAGTTGCTATGGCCCTTATAAAAACAATTATGATGCATTGTGGTAGAAGCCGAGTATCACATAGCGTAATTAGTAACCGCATCACGACGGAGGTGTCAGCTCGATTAAAACACTACACTAAAATATAGTCACCCTTTTGGATTATTCGCGTGATTTCGACACAATAAATACTCCACTTCTTCTTTCTAAAATGTCCTCCTATTTTGGCTTCGACATAACGGTAATTAAATGGTTTGCCAGTTACCTTACTTGTCGCTCCCAATTCGTTGAACTAAGTAACATGGATAGCTCAATTTTAAGGTCATCTCATTCCATCGACGAAAGAGGTGTTCCACAGGGTTAATCCTAGGCCCTATTTTGTTTATTTTATATACTTCAGATGTTATTAATATAGTAAAACATTGTAAGTTGCAAATAAACGCTGATGACCCACAATTATCCCTTAGCACAAAAGCGGAATATACTAACCTATCTAAACAGAAACTGAATCATTTTCTATAAAGAACTTGAAATGAAGATCTCAGCCGAATAAGCGAATGTTCAGTTAAAAATGAGTTAGTTTTAAATCCTGTAAAATGCAAATGGATGAACCTTGGTAGTAAAATGCAAGTAACTAACATCTCAACACATGATCCCCAAGTAAAAATTGATGGCAATCTAATTGAAAGGGTTACTGAAGCACGTAATTTGGGGATAAAGATGGATACTGATCTGCGCTTCGAGGGTCACGTACTTGATATTTTACATAACTGTTTTTATAGGTTAAAAGTTCTCTATCGCATACGTGATTACCTTAGTGTCAGCCTACGTGTAAAAATGTGTGATTGCCTCGTTGAAACTTAACTATGCTGATACAGTATACGGCCCTCGAATATTAGCCAGAACAGATAGACTAATTCAGCGAGTTCATAATGCATGTGCCCGCTTTTGTTTTAAAATACCACCACGTACACACGCCACTCCTTACATAAATAATTTTAATATATTAAAAATGACTGCGTAGGGAACTTCATTTGGCAAACCTATTATTTGGGATTCTCAAAATTGGCCGGCCTGACTACCTTTATCAAAAACTTGATTGGTTGTCAACTGATCGATTAAGGGCATCTAAAAAGATGACACTGCTCAGCTTCAGAGGAAGTTTTAAGTACGCCGCGTCTAAATGCTGGAACAATATACCACCTCTTCGGGTTATAAAAATTTAAGTAATTTTAAATTCAAATTTAAACAACATCTTTTATCTCATCAAAAATGCTTACCATCTTCTAGACGAGTATTACCCACATACGTTATGCAAAACGTCTAATGCGTACCTACTAACCTCCGTGGCTCTAATATAGATATATTTATGTAAATAAGGTCTGTCTTTTGTTTTTTGCCTTTTGTTTTTTTAATCAATATTATTATTAAGATTTTTCAATTGGTATTATTTTATTTTGTTGGAAAAAATTCTTAGTCTTACACATTTTTTATTTTTAAATTATTATTTTATTTTTTCTCTTTTAGTATCATTATCTATTCTTTTTCTCATGTTACAAGTTGCTGATATGCTGATATGCTGAGATACCCGCACATTCCTCTCATCGCAATGGCTCCACAGAAAACCAGCATTGCGGTACTTTCCGCATTTTTTTTGCTGAGTGGAGACCATTTTTGACATAAACACACATTACAATACATTCATTATTACATATTACACAACTTACATTTTTTTTCCTTAAAGGTTTCCTATGTCTTTTTTTGTTTCTTTATTTTTGTAACTTTATGTAGTTACACTTATTTTTCTTTTTATTTTGTATTTTTTGAAACGATGTTATTTTTTATTTTTTAATTAACTTATTTTTATGTCATTTATTTTGAATGTTCTTGCTGTGTTGCTTGTCAAAATAAAGTCTATGTCTATGTCTAAATCAAAAACATTTCTATAATGATTTGGTAATAAATGTAGGTACGGTATTAATTTTTTTGGGCGAGGATATTCTAGATCGTTCTTGGTGAGTTTAAATATAAGGGCGTTTGTACACGGTGCCAAAAAACATAATTTTAATTTATTTATTTTAATAAAAAAAGATATTACACATACACTGCATCCCATTACAAAACAATATAAAAAGAATTAATTACTTATTAAAGCAATACCTCCCTTATTAGACCAGGTGAAATTTCCAGTTGGACCAGTAATTATCTAAGGGCAATGTGTATTTCCAAATTAGATCGCATCAAAGAGGTATCACTTTACGTTTTAAACTCTCTACTTTAAAATACAATGTAATATTTAATATCAGTATCAGCCTTCTATTTGAATTGTGACCGAATCATTAAAGGCTGTAATGTTTTACATTACATAACCTACATAAAATAAAAGTTATAAATGCTTGAATAATTGACAGTTAGTTTTAGATAAAAAATGAAGCAATGAAATAAAATAAAATCTAAATAAATTTATAATATGTATTCATATGCACACAGGTCTGTATAACAAAATCAGTGATTGTACATAGCTTTTGATAATTAACATTAAATATTTAACATTATCATAAATTTATATAACAGAGTTCCAAGCTACTGATAAATATATATATATGGGTTCCGTACCAAAAATGTCTGTTGTATGAGAACCCCACTTTAATATTTTTTATTCTGTTTTTAGTATTTGTTGTTATATCGGCAACAGGAATAGAGCGTCTGTGAAAATTTCAACTGTTTCACTATCACGGTTTACGAGATACATCCTGGTGCGAATGAACAGGCGGACAGATGGACAGATGGACAGTCGGACAGACAGAAAGATAGCGGGGTCTTGGTAATAGGGTCCCGTTTTACCCTTTGGGTACGGTACGGTACCTTAAAAGACATACATACGTACGTACGTACATACGTCGAAGTAGTTCAAAATTTAAAACATTTTATTAAAATAATTCTACATGCACACCAATTTAAAACAATATTTAAATTTGAGAATTCGCCAGATCAAGCATGATATTTGCGTTTTTCGCACATATTTAGTATCACTTTGGTTTTTTGAAGTTATACTTCTTTTGGCACGTTTGGAAAAAATATGAGAGTAGTTTTTAAGATGTGCATACGAAGTTGGTTGCAAAGCGACCAACTACACAGTATTACCATGGTAACCAATAACAACTTTTTGACATTTACCCTTTAATTCGAAGTTATTTAATTAAACCGGTATCAATTGCATTTATTTCCTATTTCACAAACAAAGAATACTTGCAAAGAGGGTATAATTTTTAGTTATTTTTATTTTGTTACTCTAAAGAAGTATAACTTCTTAAGTCTTTACATCATTAATTATTAATATATTATATTTATCATAATTAATATACGTATAATTTTTTTGTCTAATCATTTGTGACTGACTCCCTTAAAATCAGTCCGAAAAGTATTAAGTAAAATTTAAGTAAAATAATGTCATAAAATCCATCTGCACTTAAATATAGCTCTATAAATATAACTAAAATAGTAATAAAGCCTCGAAGAAATATGTTACTGTTATAATGAGCTCTATCAATATTTCAAAAGCTATTATCGGAACAAACCACGAGAATTTTACTACCTTCCAATTAATAACAATTAAACATTGCCTTTAACCAGCTCATGTAGAGCTGTAAACAATTTACAAAAGATAATTTGCCGTTACATGGACGTGCGTGTGTATTGTGTAGACCGGGACGAGTATGTTTGACAAATAATTGTCCCGGATCTGCGTTTCTTTCCCAAGGAGGGTTGACGTCAGGCATCGGTCCTAAAAAACATAGCCAAAACCACTTACAACACGATTCGCTTGTTGTTCCGACCCCGCCTAGGTGGGATAAGGGCAGGAAGATGATGATTCTATATACTGAGGGAGTTGAAATATACAGCGTGTCTTTACCACCGCGACAATAAATTAACACACGTCTAACGCTTCTTGCCAATAATCATAAAAAATATTAACGTTAAAAAAATCCATAATTAAAAAAATTTTTGAAACAAACTAATTAAGTAAAAAAGAAACAAAATTTGTAACATCCTATACAACTACATCTGACTGATTAATACATTCAGAGACTTTTTCATTCGTTGCCCAGCGCCGCATTACAAGCCTCTCTTTCTAACAGTATGTTTTATCTCTTTTAAATTCATTCAACCCATTCATATGCTTTGTAACCTTTACAAATGAACTTTACGTTACGCTTTTATAGGTAAGAGTGTTCTAAAATTCTTTTTTTTTTTAAATTTGATAACTCGTTAAATATTGATGTTTAAAGAATGTAAATTTTTAATATAATTTTAAAAAGCTATCCTCTATATGTGTGTTCATTTATTGTCGCGATGGTAAAGACACGCTGTATAGAATCATCACACTGAGAGGATATGATTCTATACAGGGTGGCATTTCTAAAGGTGCCCAAATTCACACAGGAGGTTCAGACTCGGTAGTATAATCGTTTAAGAACTTGTTGACAATGTGGTAGTCATTCATAAATGCGTCGCATATATTTGAAACGAACTTGTGTGCGTGTTAATTATGAATGATCGCGCGTAAAATAAATGAATTGCCCATAAATCACGCACTTTTCGAGATAATTATAATATTTATTAGAGATTTTAAATATTTATCATTTTTTATATAACATTATTTATGTCTAGAATTTAATTAAAAAAAAATGGATACACTAAGAAAAGCCTCCCTGTATAGTAGCTGCGTTCATGGCCTATGACCCATCTGCCCGAGGTCACTTCTCATATGTCCGCGTGTGTCTGCCTCTGAGGTTGAGGCATCTCGGCCGCTAGCAGGCCAGGATCTTCAGGGCCAGCTTGGAGGCGGCGCGCTTCGCCTGGTACTTGTTGGTGCCCACGCCGTAGACCGTGTGCTGGCGGCCCTCCTTGGTGAACGTTACGGGCACCATCACCTTGGGTATCTCCGTTTTCGTCACTATCGGGTTCCTGCAACGGTCGAAGGCGGTTTTTAATGCGTATGCACTTATGCAGCATACACACATTCATATTTGATACACGCGAATATACACACACGCAACCAGTGTCGGCTTTCATGTTTCACGATCAGATATTTACTTATTTATTTATATATTTATTGAGCTCACCAACAAGGGACATATCAAAACATGCTTAGAAATACATAAATAAGTACATAGTATCATAAACCAAATGGTATCTTAATTAAAGGTGCAAAAGTGACAACAGCTAAAGAAACCGGCCAACTGCGAGTCGGACTCACGAACGAAGGGTTCCGTACCATTATCTATAAAAAACGGTAAAAAATCATGTCAATTGAATCGGAGCCACACTTAATGTTTTTTAGTCTGTTTAGTACTTTTTGTAATAGCGTCCACAGAAATACATCATCTGTAAAAATTTCAACTCGGAAGTAAAACGGTTCATGAGATAAGGCCTGGTGACAGACGGACAGATTGACAGACGGCAGAGTCTTAGTTATCTTAGGCTCGCTCGGAAAAAACGTCGTCAAACCTTAAGTCAACTTTGTAGCAACTAAGCTTCCAACGCTGTTTAATATAAGGTAACGGATAAATCCCATGGCTGAGAAATAGAGTATTACTAGACTATAGGCTATAAGTTCATCACCAAGCGAACACCAGATAAAATGAATCAATATTGTCAGACACATTTTTACATAACGTTCACTGGGTAGCAGAAAATTAATAAACATATTTAAAGATAATTTTCTTTAGTATTTAAATACATATTTTACATAATATATAAACACTTAGATACTGAAGTCCGCCATTTGTAACCCCTTTTGAAAGGTGTTTCAATAAAGAGATTGATATTATAAATAAACTTCAAAAATGAATTAAAAACGAACACTGAGAGCAATGAGATTTGTGGTAGGGCCACGCAGCAGCCTCATCTGTTGTACGAATGGGCAGGCTTGTCCGGGTAAATACCACGAACCCACAGAAGACCGGCGTAAAGTGGAAGTATAATACGTCTGGTGAGTGAGGTGGCCGGAGCCCAATTTTCAGAAGGTTGCCAACGCATCTGGAGCCCTCTGGTGTAGCAGATACCCTTGAACCGCCTGCTCTCTTGGCGTAGCACTTTTAACATAAAAAAAAAGATAACATACCCGAAATGCGGACAAGCGTAGATCATCTCGCTGAGCACACGAACCGGCTGGAGCGGTATCCGTTTCGAGAAGTTGTTTATCTCCTTGTGCATGATCCTGTATATCACCTTCCAAACGGTCTCTAGACAGCCGCCGCTGTCCAGGTAAATCGCGCCCGTCAACGATTCAAATATATCGCTCAGCGTCTGCAAGTGTCCACGAAAAAAAAAATATATAAAATTAAAAAATTCAAAATACTTTTATTTACATAGACGATAGTTTTTTTTCTTTTATCTACAGAAATTAATAATCCTAAGCCTTTCTTTTTCTTTCTTTAAAAAAGAATTTTATCCTTACTCTAGAATTACATTATCCAGTGTTGTAAGGATGTTTTACAAACATAAATTTCACGTGGACGAACACAAACTGTCTAAACTGTTCTTTAACAGTATGTTTCTTAGTAATAAAAAAAAATGATTATTAAATAAAACGAATGCTTAAGCATTAGGTAGAAAAACTACAATTTCGAGATTGAGATTATAACCAATCTCGAAATTGTAGTTTTTCTTCAAAGAAAATTATATAAATTATTATTTAATTCAATATCAAGTTATGAATATCTCTTTAAAATTAAGCATGTATAAAAAAACGTTTGAGTAAAAAAATCATTTGTTTGGTTAAAATACTAAGAATATTTAATTTTGAATAAAGGTTTATAGTAAAAAAGGGAAAGAATCGTAGTGCAACTAAAAACACAAACACAAACACATAAATCTAAAAATTTTTTTTACAATATAACATATTTGAAAAAAACACTTTGACCACATCTTTGACTAAACGCAAGCATAAACTAACAGAATCCACTCGAACCTTAATTAACGGGCAAATAAGAAACCCAAATAATTACTAACTAATGTGCGCTTTGTCACACAAGTGCAGAGAATAACGCTATAAATATATCCTTTAAAATTCATAAATCAAACCATCCAGTTCTGATGCGAATTTAATTATAAGTACCTTTTTTTTTTGTTAACGAGGGGGAAATGCCTACGCATACCCACCCTCGCGGGGGCGAGAGCGGGTTATGTCGGACTCGCACCGACTAAAACCCCCACGATATTCCACCTAGGCGCATATCGGCAGGGCCACGGGAACGCTTTCGCACACTTCCGCGACCTTGCCAGCGCTGGCCGCCTCAGCAGCTCCCTCCCGGGGGAGCAACCCCCTCTCCAACAGGCAAGGCGCGCCTTCCTACTCGGCCCCTTTTTCATTGCAACGAACTCCCCCGATTCCGCTGACCAGAGGCCATGGGAGCCAGGAGAGCCAGTGCCAAAAAGCAGCAAGTCTCCCAGCCCCCAGAGGCGGACCTGGTCTGTGGCTCCGCCGCTAACCACATTTCGGCCGCGGAGGGTAGGGAGAACGGCGCACCTCCCCCCGCGGTCCCACCACCACTGCATTAGCGGTGCAGCCCCGCCGAGTCGCGGAGGATAGGGAGCGCGGCCAACGCAATACCAACACTCCTCTTCCCCCGAGACTCCTCCTCGGTAGCAGAAGACAGGAAGAGTGGCTCCACCTCAACCACCCTCAACCTGTCCCCTGCACCATCCCGCACGCATCCAGAGTGGGCTTGATGGGTACCTGGAGGACCGAGCTTTGCTCGGTTTGTTTTTTTTTTGGTAAATCGTATATTTTGGAAATTACATTTAGATACAAATTACTGAGTATTGAAATATGCATAATATTTTTCAATCTTACCGACGTAATAATAAGAAAATATGAACTGGTGTTTTTCACAAAAGAAAGAACATAAATAAAAGGGTAAAAAATAACAAAATAACAAATCGACAAAAAATAAAAAATCAAGAAAGCAATGATCTGGAATTGAAAAAAAAAATAAGTGTGTAAATAATCGTGATAAGAACCGCGACCGTCTGTTTTGGGGCCGCCCGATTACCGATCGAGCTATTATAAAATTTTTTTTGCGGCGAAATTTCTATGCACATACTAAATTTCATGAAAATCGCTGGAGCCGTTTCCGAGGTTCCGATTATATATATATAAGGATAAGATTAAATAAATGTGAATTCTATACTGCGTCTTCCGTGTAATGCGCCCAGAAGTTATAAAATTAAGTTTAATTAGAAAATCAAAGAATCTAGCTGAGAGACAAGATGGCAAAATAATTAATGAACGTGGCGGGCACCTTGGGCACTTCGACGTACTGAGCGATCTGGCATTCCTCCTCCTCGATGAGGTACAGGACGTCCTCGACGATCTCATGGTCCCTCTGCTCTTGGTGCTCCACGAAGGCCAATATCGCGTCGGCCAACTGCGGGTTCAGTTGCGTGCAAATGTACCTGTAAGTAGCGATACCGCAATTAGATTTCTGGTACGTCACGTGGTACGTGGTTAGACGTCCATCTTGCTCGGTGTAGTATTACGATCTCTAGTGGACTGATGTCAAGTGGAAGTTTCTTACTTTATGGAAGGGATGAAAAACAAGCTGATTGTAAGTGATCACCGCCGCCCAACGAGCGATATTGTGTTTGTGTGTGTGTGTGTGTGTGTGTGTCTGTGTGTGTGTGTGTGTGTGTGTGTGAGGGTGGGGGGTTTATAACAACCAATCCCATACTTTTACAGGTTGGCGACGCATCTCCACCTCACAAGAGTTGGAGAAGTCAATGATGGCTGTAATCACTTAATACGAGGCGAAGCAACCGTTCGCTTGACATATGTTCACTTTCAAAAATGTGATGTGTTGGTCGAAACGAGCTTTGTGTTGAGGCAGCGTAAAGAGGAATAATTTATATTTTTACTTTTCAAGTGATTTAGACGGGGGGGGGGGGGGGGGGGGGGGGGGCAGTCCACTGCGTTTATTCCACGGGGTTATTCATTTGCCGCTAAAGTGAACAAATATGAGGAGAAAGAACAGTTACTAACCGTTGTCACAATCATGAAGTTTCTTCCGTTTCACTTACTTTATGGAACTTTTGCTTGGCCACGTACGTAAGTGACGAAGGTGGTTGTTGATAGGGGCGGATCTAAGGTCAATCATGTCGGCCGGAACGTGTGGAGTTTTATTCATTTCACTTACTGATGGAAGCCCCAACTTCACCACGTAAGTGAAGAAGGTGACACTGTTGACAGGAGTGGATCTAAGGTCCGTAATGTCGGCCGGAACAATGTGTGGGGTCTTTTCCGTTTCACTTACTTGTGGAGCCCCAGCTTGACCACGTAAGCGGCGAAGGTGACGTTGTTGACCAGGGCGGACCTGAGGTCCGTTATCTCGCCCGGCTTGAAGTCGCGGCAGTTCTCAAATATGTGCGACGTGATCAGGAAGTCCAGTACGGCGTCGCCGAGGAACTCCAGCCGCTCGTACGACGGCGTGTGCCGGTTCCGTATGTACGACGGATGCGAGAGGGCCTGTTGATTCACGCATAGTAATGAGGTGTGGCTGGACCTCGGCCCTACGGCACGTCGTAGCATTTGTCGGGTATTTAACGACTCGACAAAGTTGCAACGACACATGGAACACTAGTAGAAAGTAATTGTGTATGATTTTACGTTCTGTTCGACAGTAAAGGGTTTGGATGAGAATATTTTATAATAGTGTTGAATCGAGACACACTGAAGCGAATAACTTTGTTGTTTGCTACACGTCCAAAAGTGAGCTATATAAAATATTAAATTTAAAAAGCACATATATGAAGATACAGTGTTTATACTTTAGCTTGGGTGAGGTAGCTTTAGGTGACCTCTCTGTTGTCATAACAAACCTGACGGTCCCGATTGATTTATCTATAGATTTGCAAACCCCTTTACGTTGGAATTACAAAGGACAGTTATAATGCCAATGCGCATTATTGACAACACGGGGAGTCAAGAGAAATTGTGGTAGGTGCAGCATGTCCTTATCCCACCTAGGTGGGATGAGCAGAACATATGAATTACACAAGAAATTGTCTCGTGTGAGAGTTGAACCTCCTGGCGGTCGAAGCCAATTGCATTATGTATATACAGACTTAAACATTTATAGGGCGAACCGCTTTGCTATCTTTTTTGAAATGAACAAAAAAAAACTTATCACAAGGGTTAAGTATCAATAATTACCTCTAACAATAGCGCGGGATCATTGAATTTGTAGTTCAGTATTTCTTGTATATCGGAACGGACGTAATTCAGCAGGTAGTCGATTTCGTCAACAGTTGCTTTTTTATGGGTCACAACCGTCGAAACTCTCCTTCTGAGGAGCGTTTCTAGCCGGTCCTGAAATATTTTAACCATCGTAGTATACTATTGTAGGAGCAGGCTTCTGTTGCAAAGCATTGGTAACCCTGGTGTTATCGATGTCTATGTTGTCTGTTTGTCCACGTTAATCATACATTCTTAGAGGTTTTTATGACATGCTTAGTTTAATTGCAACTGTGATTGGACCACGCAACAGGTTGCTGTTGCACGAACGGGCAGGTCCACCCGGGGAAGTACCACGACATCACAGGAATACCGGCGTGAAGTGGAATTGGTATACTCCTCCATTAAGTCTGGTGAGTGACGTAGCTACTTTATTAAGGTGGCAACACATCTCCAAACTTATGGGTGTTGCAAAGGTTTATATTGGTAAGGTGCAAAGGGCGGCGGATATCACTTAACTTCAGGTGAACCGCCAGTTCGCTTGCCACCGTATCATTTAAAAAAAAAGCAAACAAAGGCTTTCTTTCACCGCTATAATTTATCGTGTTCCTCTGTAAACAATAAATACGTACCTCGTATGTAATTGTAATTTAAAACAAAATATATTTTGTTAAGAACTTACCAATAAATTACGTGATGAGTGTTGCTATATATGAGAATGCTGCTGTCTTTGCAGGAATAAAATTTCAGATATTAAATGTTTTATTGCACTCTTGTTTTGACCGTTCTGGTAATAGTTAACGCTATGTATGACACGTATTAAAAACGATTTAATATTCTAACATATACGATACATCATATTTAGAGTGAATGAAATTGCATGTTTAGCTTGTTTAGTTGAGGTTTTGATTACAACGCGCAGAAAATAGTCCATGGACGGTGAATATGAAAAGCCAGTAAAAAAGAAAGTATCGATTTCCCATGAAAACGTGCACGGTTAAGTGACTACTTAAGTGACTTACCGCAGCCGGTATAATTTTGAACCACTCGAGGATTTTAACACCGGCCGGGACTCCGCCGTTTATCAGATATGTACCGATAATGGCTTCCACACAATCTGCTATCGTCTATATAACAAAAATAAATTGAAACACTTAAATAAAAGAAATTTGACTAGTATTCAATTAAATCTTACACGGACATATCACTAAAATGCCACGATCTGTACATTAAACTAACAACATTCACAATTGTATTAAAACTAGATGTTGTTTTTCGGAAATACATTTCTGCACAAATTGTCGAAGAAGGAGTTTTAGTTTCCTTTTTTCTAGAGACTACTCGTTCTTAAAGTACAAGTTTTAACCCACCTTGTCAGGAACCGCCTGCGCTTGGACATAGCACTGCATGGAGTTCTGGACAGACCATTTGGGCTCGTTCTCCGCAGCGCCGTCGAAGTCCGTGTAACGACTTTGTATCTGGCTCCAGCTTTTGCTAGACAATTCGCCGCTCAGGGCCTCTTCCAGCGAGAATTGCATGCCCAACAAGAACGAGGGTCTGATCTGTTTGAGGCGACATATTTATCTTTATAATTTAAGATCACTACATAATGTAAAACAAAGTCGTCCTGCTTTCTGTTTGTCCCTATATATGCTCAGATCTTTAAAACTACGCAACGGATCTTGATGCAGTTTTTTTTAGTAGATAGTGATTCAAGAGCAAGGTTTATATGTATAACACATTGCACCCGTGCGAAGCCGGGTCGGGTAAACGAATGTTTTTGTGTTGAAGGCTATTATAAATTAGCGATTGTTTAATTAATAACACCCTGGAATGAATTGATAGCTTCGGGCTCTTTCATGTAGACTTTAGTACAAATGTATGCCCAAAATCGGACAAGAATAATATATATATAATAGAATGTTATGTTATATATTTTCTGGCAGATGAATAACGCTTCAAGGTTGATCCTGAATCTCATACCCATGAAAAATTGGAGTAAATTAAGCAAAGTAAGAACGAATGATACAATCAACAGCTCGTAATCATATTATTACGGAATAAAAAGATAAATTAAAGATTAAGATAACTTAATAATTTAAGATAAATTAAAGAATGATTAGCTTAACTGCGATAAAATTATGATAGTCGACGATACTCGAAAAATGGCAATTTCCCTTCAGCCGATGCACAGAAAATTTTAAATTGAAGACAATTGCTGGCAAGGCAGTAGACTCACTGCATCATGTAATCTTTACTGTGCAGCTTAAATGAATTAGATAAATAAACATACCGGACGGTGAAACATGCGATTGGACGGTGCACTTATATCTTCTTAGAAGGACAACAGATAAAAAAAACACTGCACTTTAGTCGACAATTACGCATTTACGCATCGACGCATTTTATCATAAATTTATTTCGTTTCATAAATGGATGGTTCATAAACATAATTCATAAGGGTCAAACTGGAAAACGAACGAAGTCTAAAATTGTACATTTTATAACTCAGTCCGTTTATCCTCTTAAAACTTTTGTGCGACACAATATACGGAAAGAAATATCTTTAAACGCTACTAAACTGCAAACCAATACTTTTAATGTGTTATATTATATATCTAATTCACGATATATTTATAAATCGTCAGTAGATATTATATACAAGGCAAATTTTACACCGCATCACATTTTATAATGCAACCTTAGGTTTTTATCAAGATGATCATGTTCTACTTCTATTGGATATTTTTATATAAACTCACCGCATAGTGTATTCTCCACGTGCAGAATACTAGTCAAATGCATCTCGTTCAAAGAAATATGAGCATTGTTGTGTTAATTTTTTTTGCAATGTTAATTTTGAACGGCTTGCTTATATTTATTATCCTTCAACTAAAATATAAAAAGATAACATTGCAACTATTAAGAAAATTTTAATGTTCGCAAGGCTCGTTTAAGTTTAAGCCACAGGCTCACAATATAAATAAATATAAATTACATAACTTGATTTTTTTTTAAATCTTTGCGTATGTAAGTAAACATACTGGCCACTAAAGCTGGTATTTTTTTTAACACAGGCTTCGTTACGATGCACGAGCAAGGCCAAGGCTGAATAATACGTTGGCGGGAGATAGGCCGCGCTAGTATCAATACATCATCGAAATTCATAATTCCGTCATGAGACGCCAGCGCAGGCGTACGCGCTCATCGTTTTCAATTTCTCGTGTTCGATCCGCGGCACAGCTCTGCTCGTCTTTGTTCGTACATTGATCTTTTTTTTTTTTAAATCGGCAGTGTTCTACTGAAAGTCTAAGGTACTGTGTTTAAGGTAGGATGGTGTTTTCAGTGCGTAATAGTTCTGTGCCCTCAAAACGACGGCTTTGTGGTTCATATGAAATTAAACGGAGTTTTTGTTATTTTATTTTGTAGAATGATTTTAATGATCACATTGGAAGTTTATAAAAAATGGTAGACAACATAACATCATAGTTACAAAAATATTTAAATCAGCCCGAGAAAGTTGCAAACAGTGACCTACATTTTTAATATGCCAATAGCTGTTTAACTGAAGCGGGAAGTAAGCGATTCACTGTCGTATGACTATATAAAAAATATCTAGTGTTTTGAATATTTTTCTTAGTGTTAATGACATGTTCTGTGTAAACAGAACATACTAATTATAATAAGAACACTTAAACAAATAACTTATTGAAAGAGCTAACTGAGAGCTAATTAAGGAAGATTACAAAGTAAAGTTTTTTTTAATTTCGTTACAATTATTAAAAATGTATGATATAGTGTTATAAAAGATAATCGTGACTTAAGTATACTTGGAATCGAGTGTTTTATAAGTGATGCGGGGGTATATGTAAATAAAGGCGAATGTCAATTCGACGTAAAGTTTTTGTTTTTATATGTTAATGTTATGCTGAAAGACTATTTATATATAAAAACAGAGTAATTCATATTAAATTCAGAATGACGTAAAAGTAACCTTGGCTTTGCCTACTTGTAAAGCTTTTTTATATACGGTACTAGCATAATGACGGCTCGATTCTTTCGTATCTTTACTGTTGTATAATATTGCCTATAAAACATTGATGACTCAATAATAAATTGAATATTACTCAATATAATTGTAAGACGGGAGGGAGACCGAGAAAAGTTTGGATGGACTGAATTAAGAATAATGTGTCAGTAAAGCGGTGCTTATTGAGATGACGGTTGATAGAGGAAAACGGTAGGGAAGGACATGTTGTGCCGACCCTACCTAGTGTGGAGATCAGAGGAAGGGGTAGAAAGATATTTATTCAATATTTTATGCATGTTAATGTGATGAACGCAATCCCATGAAGTCTGTATCGCAAGAACTTTTATGCCGTTTACGGACTGAAATCTTATATATAAAATAAAAACTGTTCCTACCTGTCAAACTATGTTATGGGTGCGTTTCGAAAATTATTTTTTAATAAATGATTTATATGGCAAAACAACGTTTGCCGAGTCAGCTAGTAATAAATAAGAAAATACGCAGTTTAATAATATACTAAGCAGAACCATCTCGTCATCATTACCTATGACCAAATCGCATGTGTAATTTTTACGGAATTATTACAGATGTTTAGATTATTTACACTGATTTTTGCTGCAATCGCGATATCGTTTGGTTTGATGGCCTACCTAGTACAAGTGCCAGATTTACCGGACTTTGACTATCAAAAATGGTGGGGAAATGGACCGAAAACTGAAGACAACGAATCAATCAGACCGTTTAAAATTGAGTTCAACAAAACGGTAATATGTTTTTTTCTGCATTATATTTTTATCATATAACTATTTAATGACCAATAAAAGTGAAAAATCACGATAAGATAAAAGTTTTACTATAGTAGCGATAATAATAATAAATTTATTTATTTCTATAATAATAACAATATAGACAATTTATATTTAAGTATATGGACTACACTGTGATTTCCAAACTAGGCAGTGCCTGTATCTTGTAAGTAGTGCTCTTCATGTAAAACATTTGACATATAAAAAAAAATAGTTATAATTTATCCCTTTTCCTTAATTTATTAAAAAAAAAACAAGACAGGGACATGAAAAATAACACTGATGTGTTTATAGTAACGGGTCCCGCTTACCTGACTAATTAGAATCGCAAAACTATAATACTTCCAATTCTCGCCGGTCTAGCCTATGGTACCCCAACGTAGGGGCTTGCCATTATCTTTTTTTTTGTTCTATTATTGATTACAGATGATCGGAGATTTGAGAAGTAGGTTGAAAAATAGACGTCCACTAACGAGGCCACTAGAAGGGATAAAGTCAGAGTACGGAATGAACACTTTGTACTTAGAGAAGATAATCAATCACTGGGCCGAGAAGTACGATTTCGAAGCGAGGGCGGACCGTCTGAATAGATTACCCCATTATAAGACGCGGATACAGGGGCTGGATATCCATTTCGTCTGGGCGAAACCAGAGGTAAAGGGCGTGAAACCATTGCCATTGCTGATGCTGCACGGATGGCCCAGCTCGTCGAAGGAGTTCGAAAAAGTTATACCGATGTTGACAAACAAAAGAGGCGGCTACGATTTTGTATTCGAAGTCATTGCGCCGGACCTGCCCGGTTTTGGTTTTTCGGAGGTAATTAAATAGTTTTGCAATGTATATACATTAATATTATTTATGTTATATACTCGACGACCCGATTGGCGTAATTGATAGTGTCTCTTGCGCCAGAGGGTGTGTTCGATTGCCACCTTCTCACATGAAAATAAAAAATATCTATTTAGGCTACATTACTGTTAGTTTAAAAAAGTTCTTTTCACTTGTCAACACGGAATTGTCAATATATCAATCAAGTGCAATAATTATGGACACATAATCTATGAATGGAATCCAAGACCGAATAAAACAAATTGATCACAAAAAGAAGTCGAAGTCCGAATTTTAGAATGTCTTTCAGACCTATATCTACAAATTAGGCACGGTAATTGGTTTTAAGGCCCATTTACACGGTGCAAGTTTCTTGCCTGTAGTATACAATTAAATTGAAGCAATAAATGAGTTGCATTGTCTAAACAGCACATAACATTCTTGACTGTTGAACAAGACTTGCTTCAAGTTTTGTTTCAAAACTTTCCTTGGTGTAAACAGCACACACAATAATTTCGTAAGCAATTCTTGTATTCAATTGCATTCTCTCTTCGTTTGCAAAAATTAGTGCAATGAGCGAGGGTATTTAATCGTTGCTGTTCTTTTGAGGATAGAAATATTGAGAAAAGGTCGTAAAAAAAGTTGGATAAATATATGAATAATAATATATGGATCATAATAAATAAATCTCAATGAAATATATTTAATCGGCATAACCTAACTTGAAAACTTATTATTGAGCCATTTTTTAAAAAAAAACAGGCCTTTGTAAAACGTTCAACACTTGCATGAAAAGTTTGTCAACGCAAATACATGCAATACTTGAAGCAACACGCCAATAAATTGTACACGCACATACAAGCATGTGTTTAGATAAGTCAAAACTTGAAAGCAATAATCGCCTAAACATAATTGCATTAGTGTAAACAAAAGACATTTGCAATTATTTCTTGTCAAGACTTGCATTCAATAATCGCATTCAATTTTTTTTACTATATCTGCGTGTAAACTGTTGCTTACAATTCTTGATGGTCAATTATTGCGTGCAACTTATTGCATTCAATTATTGCTCTTGTATGTACAAGAAAATGGCATCGTGTAAATGGGCCCTAGAATTCAAATTGAAAACGAGATAGTAGATAGATTAGCAATTGAGATTTAAATTTAGCGCATGCGTTAACAAAATGTATTTGTGGTGTATATAATTATAAAAGAAGTGTCATTAGATTCGAAAGATTGGCTAAATAGTTTTTGGAAAAAAAAATGTGGTTACGCTCGAAACATTGCAAAAGTTTATAAACGTTCTCATTGCAAAGTTATCCGCTCGAAAAAAAGAAAAAGGGGGGTTTTGTTTTCTTGCAATTATCTCAAAATCTAATCAAAATTTTCGATATCTGAAAGATTCATATTTTCATTCATTAATTAAGGTTTTTAATTTTTCAACTGAGATCGTGGTACTTCCCCGGACGGACCTGCCCATTCGTGTAAGAGCAAATTGATGCGTGGCCCTACAACAGTTGTTAACATTGAAATCTTTTTTTAAAGTCATTTCAGTATGATGGATAGTATCAATTCCAGGGTTCAAACAAACCTGGGCTCAACCCCGTGCAAATCGGAATAATAATGAAAAATCTCATGAGAAGGCTGGGCTTTGATAAATTCTACGTACAAGCGGGCGACTGGGGATCCCAAACTGCCACTCATATGGCCACAATATTTCCAGAAGATATATTAGGGTGAGTATTAAATAATAAGAGTTTCGTAACAGTTTTTTTGGATTGATTTCGAGTGAAACTAAGTTACTATCTCAAGCATTGTTTGAGCTAAACTCGTTTACCACCAAATAGTAACAAACTCGTGAGTGATAAAGCCTGTCTAAGGGTTTTGTGTGTGAAGCTTTACATACGAGAGGGGGATTAAGTTTGCGAGGACAGCTCTCCTATGAAATACCGGCTGCCACCCTAAGGAGAGGATTCGGCACCGTCGACATGAGCTTCGCCTCACGAGACATTGTGCCACAAACCCCACCAATGCGTGAGATTTTGGAGATTGGTAAATCAATTTGTAAATTAAGGCCGTGCCACACTAGATCCGAAGCTTTTCACATGTCGAAGTATTCCCAGACAAGTACGGCGCCGGTTCTATTGGGCTGATAAGTAGTTCACAACCTGATCAGTTGGGACGTTGTTGAGTGGCTGCAAAAGTCGAATTATTCACTATTTAAGCTATACACAAGTGGCAATTCTACATAGCAGCAGCCTCTCGAAAATTTTGGCGAGGTGTGGAAGCAGCTGCATAGGGCTGAGGAATAGAATAATAGTTAAGACTGAGTGAAAATATCAACTAAAAACACAAATCACCATTATGTTTCTATCCTCAAATAACGCAAACGATTGGAATGTCTCATTACAACGTCCGAAAGATGACAAAGTCACAAACAAGTTGCGATTGGTTGCACCAAGCTCGTCGAATAATGGGAGAGTAACATCAAGTATCTTTCTCAATCTACATAGGGAATTAACGGATATGTTAGGAATACCTAATTAAGGTTATTATAGATTGAGCTATAAAGTTTGTTTGTCCACAGGTTTCACACTAACATGCCATTGTCTTCGATGCCGATCAGCTTCTTGAAGATAGTCCTCGGCTCCATGGTCCCCACATTGGCAGTTGACGCGCGCCACGTCCACAGGATATATCCGTTGACTAAATTGTTCTCGTACATTATGAGAGAAAGCGGATACTTCCATATACAAGCGACAAAGCCAGATACCATCGGTACGTGCCCTCAACATTGTTCGAATGCAAAATCGACGCTGACAAAGCCCCGAGCCTTTAAAGACGAAATGATTCTTTACTACAATGAAAGGTTTTATGTCGAACAGTGAAAGTGTCCTCCTTATTGACAATGAGGCGATTCAATGGACAACCGCAAATTTTTGTCCTCCCTTGGCACACAAATGCGGAATTTGAAAGCAAACGAACACCTTGATAAGAATAACAAAAAAGTAAAAACCGGCTAAGTACGAGTCGAATTAGTAAGTACCTATAGGTTGCCTAGCAACAACCTCGCGTTTTTGTATGGGAGCCCCCTTAAAGATTTTTTATATTATTCTGTTTTTAAGTATTTGTTGTTATAGCGGCAACAGAAATAGATCATCTGTTAAAATTTTAACTGACTATCACGGTTCATGAGATACAACTTGGTGAAAGACGGACAAACTGACAACGTAGTCTTAGTAATAGGGTCCCGTTTTACCCTTTTTTTTAATTCTTTGACTAGCACCTGCCATCTACTTCTCATCAGGACTGTAGTAAAGGGTGATAGTCCTTAGTTTAAGGTAAAGCGTTGAAGCAGAAATAATCGCTAGTTGACCCTTGCAATACTTGCACCTTGATCAGTTACTGACTAGTGGTATAACAATATGCAAATAACTATTTATCTTATTTAGAAGAATAATAAATAAAAAGCAATGGCGACATCTCTCGTTCGAATTATCGTTTAAAACGATATTCGAAATTGTTTGTATGCTGGAACGGATATAACAATAGATGCGCCAAGCATTGCTAAATAACAATGTAGAAAGAAGGCGTTAAGATTTTCGTCGCTGTGGCCATCAGCCGTTTAGCTCAGTGGCTAGAGCGTCAGGCCGCGAATGCCGAAGACGTGGGTTCGATTCCCACAGCGGCGACAATCTTTTCGTACTTTTCTTCATATTTTAGTAGAAGAATAATGTTTTTGTACTTCGCTATCTTTCATTTTAACAAATTGTAGCATCATACATTCTTAATAAGTTTTTTTATGAAAACATTTGTTATATGCTACTGTCTTTTCCTCTATTTACAGAAACCGAATCTTATTTCACCGTTACCCCTTGTGGGTTAGCGAAGAAATTTTCACGACCATATGGGGCACATTCCAGGGGTGGGCCTGACGGACTCGCCAACGGGATTGGCCGCCTACGTGCTGGAGAAAATGGGCGTGTGCAGCAACAAGGAGCAAACGGACACCATCCACGGGGGCCTTGAGAACCTCGAGCTTGACGACGTACTGGACACGCTAACGATCATGTGGGCGAACGGCTGCGTGGTGACGTCGATGCGGATATACGCGGAGGCCCTCGCTGGGAGGGAAGCGAGCGTGGTCCATAAGTGAGATTGTTGCATTTTTTTAACCGACTTCAAAAAAGGAGGAGGTTCTCGATTCGACTGTATTTTTTGTTTATGTTTGTTACCTCTGAACTTTCGACTGAACAGATTTTGATGATTCTTTTTTTTATTTGAATGGCATTGGATCTTGGGTTCCGACGATACGTTGGGAACTCCTGAAAATCCTTACTAATAAACGCGAATGTTTGTATGTATGGATGGATGTTTGTTACTCTTTCACGCAAATAGTACTGAATGGGTTCTAATGAAACTTTACAATCATATAGCTTATACATCAGAATAACACATAGGCTATAATTTATATAGATATTTTTATGTATATCTGTCTTTCTGATGAACGGCTTCCGCCTATTCTACGCAGACGTAGTTGCGGGCAGCAGCTAGTCAATTATAAAATGAATACAGAGCGAGACTATTTGTAGTCGGTTTTGTTTTTTGTTAATAAAAAAAAATGACTTGTTATGGAAAAAGAGGCAAACGGGCAGGCGGACTGGATGATGGTAAATGTCCACCGCAGTACCTACTTGAACACTCGCAACACCAGAGGCTATTATTTCCTCGAGGATGAATGAAATTAAAGACACAAACACTGCATTTGTCCTACATAAAACAAAGTGGACCTCATCCTACAAGCACTGCTTACTCAACACACTGCGGACAAAAACTATATCAACCAGAACACAATGTCCATGACCATTTCAAACTCTAATAGTCTTAGAAATTCTAGGACTATCTGAGTTTTGTTCTTGTTTAAACGGCACGTATACGTATACGCTATTCTAAGTTCTAAGTAAGAATGCGTATACGTGCGTGTTGGCGCGGCGTCGATATGTGTGTGTTTTTGTGTTAATCTACGTTAGCGCGCGCATGTAGGTACTCTAATTTTAAAAGCAATTATATTTAATAAAGTAAATCGGAAACGACTCATAGAGTTAATCAAAAATCGCTAATCATTGAAGTGGAACCATTATATGGTTCCACTTCAATGATCAACAATTTCAACGATCAACAATTTCAGCATACCAACTAAAGTGCCGACGGCCGCGATCAATTTCCTCCACGAGGTCCTGTACCAGCCGGACTGGATACTGCGGGACAAGTTCCACAACCTGGTGCGTTCGACCACGGTCGAGTTCGGCGGCCACTTCGCCGCTTTGCAGACACCGAGGGAGTTGGTGGACGATTTGTACGCATCGGTGGCGCAGTTCGTCGTACACCACCGTGTACGGACGTGAACCTACCCAAACAACTGAACCAGTCTTTTTAACAGCTAGCTAGTTTCGATACGTAACTTAAAGATGTCGAGTGTCTGACAGAATTTAACCTAATCCAAAAGCGGTGAACAAAAGTTTTAGCTTTATAAAATAATATTCGCGCATAAATGTGCTTAAATCTGTTTTTTTTTTATATTTTTATTTATACTCTTGTGTCGGACCGTTTTGAATTATCCAAATTTTTAAAACCTGTTTGTATATTTATTCTTAAATGTTAAGCTATGTTAAAAAGGTGTTATGCCTCAAAATTATTTACTGATATATATTTTTTTAGCTCTTTTAAATAAGTATAAACACAACTCAAGATTAATTAGATTAATAAATTGTTATGGACTGTGATTATGCAGAATGATCTCTTTTCGATATGTTTTTTTTTTACTATTATTTTCTGTATGTACCATAAATTAAAATCGCTTAAGATGTAAAGGATCGCTAGGGAATAAAGGCTCAATAATATATTTTTATAAATAAAAAATATGAAAATTTCTATGCAAATAAGAAAGGCTTGTTTATATTTTCCATGCGCACTTATAATCCGTTTAATTTAAACAATACCTTTTAACAGATCTCGCGTAAAATTAAAATTTGTAGAAAAAAGTTTCTCATCGCTGCGAGAATTGCATGCCTGATATGAGAAAAAAAAAAAACAATATAGACAAAAGACGTTGAGAGTTTTCGTCAGTTTGGCAAACCACCGTTTAGGTTAGTGATTAAAGCGTCTAAGCGCAAAATCTGAAGACGTCGGTTCGATTCCTGCAGTGGCGAGAAGTTTTTCGTCCTTTTTTCGACAAATTATATTGTTCTATCTAAGTGGAGAGATTAGCACGATAAAAATTTAAAGTTCTCGCAAAAACTTGTCCAGGCATGTGAACCAAATAATCGTTACCTACCAAGACTTAAGAAATATTGATACAGATATTAGGATTTATATTCGTTTTGAATGTTTCCATGACAGAAAATAGAAAACGATTTCGTGATGATGATTCGAGCTTGTGAATTTATGCCGCTATTATATTATACTATATACTATAGTAGTCATGTCAGTGGAATTGGAATAAGTACAGATGCAAAGAATTCGAATCTTAAAAATTGTGAAAGAAGTCCAAGTTACAATCTTGGAGTGCCTTCTTGTTGAATTGTTTTGAACTGAAAACGACGATCAGGGCAACAGTTTCCTTTTTGAAATGATTTAAGTGTGTGCATAGTATTGAGTTTCGTACCTGTATTAGTATATCTACTAATTATAAAATATTTTAGATAAATATAAATTCTTATAAATTAGAATTCCCAAGAAGGGTTGACGTCACGTGGGCGGCCGGTCATAAAAATAAAGCCAATAACTGAAAGAACAACAATCATGTTGGAAATCCACACCACCCCCACCTAGTGTGGGATATAAATTAAAATATTATTTAGTTTATTATAATTATACAAAATGTGTTTATAAAATGGCGCTTTCTGAATAATATCAAGTATTTCTTTATGTCAATATCTTTAACTTTTACAAACTGCCAATTTTAACGAAATTCTTAACGTCCTCATCGACCCAGCACCCCAGCGGCCCAGTTGCGTTGTGTGCCCGACGTGAATTAAAATAATGACGTCATTAGTGACGTTGTCGCCAAGACATCAAGTGATAGAAGGAATATTTTGTGAGCGCTTAGTGGAACGCTGTCCTTATAGAACGATTAGAAGACTGTACGTTGTTTAGAATTAACATCACCTAATTTAAGTAATCTTTTGTGTTTCATAAAAATGTGCTGGAAAAATGAACAGAGAAAATTATGGTTCGTGATGAATATGAGATAATGAAAATGAGATTGCAGTGATGTTATTACTTTATGAAGAACTAACTTGATTATTTTCGATGAATTCCTTGACGGACTTAGGCGCGAAGAAACCCGGCACCAGGAAATCACATTTCGGACTGAATGACTCGATTTTCATGCGACCTCCCAAACGCACCTTCTCGCCGGCGTAGTAAAGATTCCTGGTTGAAATAAAGTTTATAGTGTACTTACACTTTAATGTCAAAAACAATTATCTACACCTTTTTCACAAAAGTGAAGGCTATCATCGATGAATCCGTGTCGCGGTTGTCAATTACACTTGAATAATAAGCAACGTTTGTACTATGGGCTATGGGTATTTGATAACTGATAAAACATTTTTTTTTAATTTGAAAAGTTGAAAAGCGAGCAGGCGGTTCACCTGATGTTAAGTGAATACCGCCGCCCATGGACATCTGCTACACCCGAGGGTTACAGATGCGTTGACAACCTTTTGAAAATTGAGCTCCGGCTACCTCACTCACCAGTCGAAACGTGAGTATTTGTCATACTTCCACTTTACGCCGGTCTTCTGTGAGGTCGTGGTACTCATCCGGACGAGTACGCCCATTCGTGCAACAGCCGCAATTTTGTAAATAAAGACACATTAGACATATAATATAAACACCCAGCCACTGAAAAAACACTATGTCCATCACACAATATTTTACCAGTAGCGAGGTGATCGAAGCCACACCCTCTGGCGCAATAGGCGGGTTCACTACCCACTATAATATAAGGTATCCCTGGAGTCGGGAGCTCCCGGAGTCCAAACGTACAGAAGGTGGCCACCGAGGGGGTTTTAGTGTTTAAGAACACCACATAACTCTGTCATGTTTATGTCTCACGAAAGTTTTAATAATTTTCGAAGATTTCCCCCCCACTGGGCCGGAAAGATCTAATCATCTAATCATGATCATCGACACGCAAATAAGGTTTCCCCCGCGATACCAAAAAAAAAAAAAAAAAATGTCTACTAGGCATAATAAAAAAATAAAATAAAAAAAAGAAACCTGTTCCCGATGAGGCGGCACTTGATGTTGGTGAGCTGGCCCTCGTTGAGGGCGGGGAACTTGTGGAAGAGGTAGAGGCTCGCGGCGTACTTGAGGAACGCGTCGCCCAGCGTCTCGGCGCGCTCCAGGTCGAAGGCGTCGTTGGAGTTGGCGGTCGTGATGGCGCTCAAGAGCTCGCGCAGCTCCGGCCCGCGCCCCGCCGGCCTCCTCTGCAGCAGCTCGATCTTGTCGTTGTACCTGCGATCGTGTTCTACAGGGTGATGTTATAGACGACGGACGTGCTCGTGTTAGCAGAGCATGGTATGCAGAATTACATTCTAAATCTGAATCCGTGACGCACTTGTGTCCTCATTTTTTTTTTTTTCAAAGATTATTTTTAATTTTTTCCAACATTATGGACACCTTAAGAAATTCCCGCCTTAGCGTCTCGATACAATAACCTATTGACAGGCACTAAAACTTTTCGTTGAACGGATAATTACTAAACCGATTATCAATAGGGTGTCCACACTTAATGGGATAAACAAACAATGTTTGAATTGATATTGTTGGAGTTATAACCTTTTGCCGTTTGGTCTCTATATAACTTTAAGGTATGATTTATAAAATCGAACTTTTTATCCAATACTTTTCTTACTTTTTTCATTTTCATTTTGTATTCACTTTTTTCTAGTCATTCAATTTTCACGAGATTATTAGAAGCATCCATTTAACACATATTATATTGTGAAAATCTTATTACAAATTTTACAAATGCGCAAATAGTATTTTCATTTGTAACCAACATAACTCAGAAGGTTAGTAAGCTGAAGTAGCGATGGGCCGGCCATATAGGTAGAACCGATAACCGCTGGGGAAGAAAGGTTCTCGAGTGGCAGCCTCGAACTGGCCTTCGCAGTGTGGGACGTACCCCACTAGATGGAGTGACGACCGAGACCCTACCACAGATAAATAACCAGCGTTTCACTCCAATTCAGAGCCTCTAACTCGGTAACCGACGGTAGTGTACACAGCAGCGATTGCTATATAAGTGCGCTGCAACCATTCTCGAAGTAATGGAAGCCGCCGTGGCACTCACACGATGGGCGGAGGCAGGATCGCCGCCGATGTGGGGGGGGCGTTGTTGAGGGGCGAGCCGATGACGCCCCCCTCGGGGCCGGAGAACATGGGGGCCGTGATGAACTCGTCGTAGCACTCGATGTCCATCACGGTGACGGTCGACAGGTTGCGCTCGATGTCTATCGGCTCTTTACGCTCCTGTTAGACAATAATTATTATTATTTTATTTATTTATCTAAGTAGATACAAACGTAAGTTACAGAACATGTGTTACAAAAAAAAATAGTAAAGAAGAAAAAATGTAGATCTAGATATATATGACGACGACCAGATTGGCGTGGGGCATAGTGAAAGCCCAGAGGGTAATATTGTGGAGGATGAGGAGACTTGCCCGGAGGAAAATATTGTGTGATGAATATAGTATATATGTTTATATAAGCACCCAGTCACTGGAGACTACATATATATGTATAATTATTAACAAAAGAAAAGTATGTACAAGTATGTTCATCAGTTTTCTACTATCCATAGTACAAGCATTGCTTAGTTTGGGACTAGAGAACGTTGTGTGAAAATGTGTCCGAAAAATATATATTTTAATTTATTTATATAGTAACGGTAATAGCGTCGTCTAATAATTACTGGTTAATTTGTCTAAGATTTCTTAAGTTACTGCAGTTTGATAGGTGGTACTAAAAAAATGTCCAAACCTCAAAAGGTGCGCGAATCGATGATACTACTAAAAAGAAGGCATAAAAAATTGCAAATATTTAACACTACCGGCGTACACGACAGTTGGACAACAGTTTAAACGATTCCAACGCGGGGATGCCCGAATTTTCCAAATCATCGACATATTTTTAATATCTTTAAAGCAATATATAGATCTCACGATGTTTTCTCTGATGATGGCCACGTGGTAAATTAGCACATAATATTGTAATTAACAATTTCATTGGTGCCTGTGCCAGCCGCTCAGGCATGTTGAATTGATAGCGAGCGCGATACTGATAGCTATCACTGGCAACAAAATGACTTTTGTAATGATACAATCCTTACTATCCTTACTAATATTATAAAGGCGGAAGTTTGTATGTATGGTTGGATGTTTGTTAGTCTTTCACGCAAATATTACTGAATGGATTTTTAATGAAACTTTACAATGATATAGCTCATATATTAGAATAACACATAGGCTATAATTTATATACATTCTTTTTGTATATCTGGCTTTCTGTCAATGTTACGCCTTGAGCCTATTCTACGCAGAAGTAGTCGCGGGCAGCAGCTAGTTTAAAATAAAGATATTACAAACACACCTCCCACGGGTACTCCTTGTCAATTTTCTGCTTCTGCAGTTGATAGACGCTTTCCTTCATCGAGATTATCTTGAGAGGTTTGCGAGCCGCCTCGTCAATAGGATTGTTTATTCTAGAAGAAAAAAATTAAATGATTTAAGACAATAGTCTTATAACAATGAAATAATGGTATACATATTTTACAAGAAAAGTCTAATTTGTTAATTTTGAAAGAACAATAATTAAACAAGATAAAATTATTTGACAGAAAGTCTCATAGTGATGAAATAATGGTATTAATATTTTACAAGAAAGTGTACTGCCGAGCCGTCTTAAACAAAACCGACAAATTTCTAGACATTTTCGTTTCACTTCAATTAGAATCTCTATATTATAGAGAATTCATTATAAAACAAATTATTTATTAGTTTGTTTTATAACGAATCCTCACAAATTAGTTAATTATGAGCTATGATATTATCATAATTCTTAATATTCTTTATGGAAACATGCATTTTGTTACAACTTATAAAGGAGAATACAACTTGGGAGAGTTTTATGACCAATAAATGCCAAGGATCCAATCAAATTTTTAAAGCAATAAATGGGTCCATGTAACTATCTAATTGTCTTACTCCATATTAAATTGTCCAAGTACTATACCTATCAACGGTGTTCCTTAGCGCGCTCTCTGTATCCGAGCTTTCGATTTGCGATAGCAGAGACGTCATAGCGATTTGCAGATCGACTTCTAACGGCAGCCAATTCTCGTCTGAATTTGTAATGCGTCAATTAGTTAAAAGCTTGTTGACCTCGGTCAAATGGTTGTTTTCAAAGCAAGGTGACAATTTTTTTCAGTGCTGCCAATGTATTTAATCTAGCGTAAAAGCAATCTCCACTACAAATTTCATTTAAATCTATAAATTATATATTAAATATATGATGATGATGATGAAATTTCAAAATAAATGCAAGACAAAAATCCATACATATTTATATATATATATATTTCTACTGTAATATTGTAAAAAGGGAAAATAGTTAAATATAAATTAATATCGTCATAATAATTTTCTGAATTTGAAACTATACTGACAGTTTCGTCAGGAACCGTTTTTGACAATACCATAAATTAATCATTGCCTTCTTCTATAATAGGTTCAAGATAAAATAACAATTCTGAACAAATTGTTCATGTTATTTTTATTTTGAAAGATGAATAGTAACGCAATACTTAATCACTCCTATGTATGAAATGTTATAAATCATGTTGTGTGTAAAAATGTTTGAACAAAAATAGCGACGAAGTCAAAATGTTATTGTCGGACTAAAACCGAATTTGTACTGAATGACAAAATGAAATAAGTACTCTATGTAGTGTGAAGTATATTTCGTGCAAGATTCTGCAAATGTTTTCGTACCTTTAGCCAATATCAGCTGACCGTAGTTCGTGGCAGCTGCAATTTCCACGCGAAGTTCCTCTGCGACCAGTAACATGAATACCCTGGAAGAAGCAAGGCTTTCGTGATCTATCTCGTTTTGTCTACGAACGCACGACTAAACGAAATTATCTTTAACAAGTAACAAATACATATTCGACTGCTGGGCAATGGTTTCCTCTGTACGGAGGGTATCAGAGCATAGTCCTTAGATTGGTGGACTTCACATACATATCTTCGAGATATTTTTTTATTATGTTGAAAATATGCATGTTTCCTCACGATGTACTCCTTCACCGCATAGCACGTGATAAGTTAAAGTTAACAATTTCATTTGTGCTCTCGTGCATCTCGGACACTGAGCTATCGTATAGTATTTATAATTAAAAAAATGCATTTAGAAATAGAAAAAACATTACGGTATTATGTGACGTAGTTTTTCTATAAAAATAAATCTTATTGTGAAATTATTATTGTGCCGAGAAAAATTTGTTGTTATTCATAACAACAAATATTTATTTGACAAAACGTATATGAATTCATGTACATCTTCACTTAGGCAAGCGGCCTGTTTTTTATGTGAAAAAGTGGCTAACGAGCGGGCGCCCATAGACATTTGCAACACCCGTAGGGTTGAAATGCGTTGCCACCTTTAAATAAAGTGGACCCCGGCTACCTCACTTGCCAGACGAAACGCAGAAGTGGTAAACTTCCACTTCACGCCGGTCTTCTGTGAGGTCGTGGCACTTCCCCGGACGGAGCTGCCCATTCGTGCAACGGCGAAGACTGTCGCCACGGTTAAATCGCGCATCGGCTCCGCATCACCTGTGTATCACGCTGGGCAGCACGGTTGCCTTGTACCACAGGACGCCGGGGAACTCGTACTGGACGCAGAACTCCGGTATGAAGTTCTCGGCGAAGTTCTTCGGCTTGTCGTCGCCCTGCGCGGCCGAGACCAGCTTCTTCTGCTTCTCCGTGAAAGCTTTGATCGTGGCCGACCTCGGCATCAGGCAGTTCACCCGCGTGCCGAAGTTCCGCACCTGATTGATGGGCGAACCGGCTATATTGTGGTCTCTATATTGAAATTTTGTTACTGCAGGAATCTATCGATTTAATGTTTCATTTCTTGAAGGCGTATGCAGTCGGAACACCATAAACTCCATGGTTTTTCATCAAATTTGATGACTAACACAATATTTCAAAGTTGTCAAAAAACTCGTATCTAAATTTCTTATAAAAATGTCTGATGATGCCATCTATTGACGATTTGTATAAATAAAAGATAGCGAAGTAGAGTGAATTTTACGATTATACTTCAAAATAAAACACCTTTCAACGATTAACACTTATTTGTACATTATTATAACAATTATTAAAAAGTTCTGTGCGAAAATTTCTCACGGGTCAATTATTTATAATTATGTTCAGGGCTTTACTGTTTCAAACAAGCTCTACGAGTATATGAATGCTGTACTGAAATTTCAGAGATATAAATTTGTAATAAATGAAGTTATAAGTAGCCATAGTCACGCACTCACTTCGAGTAGAGGCTGCTCCTTGCTCGCCACAACTTCCAAGTTATATTTACTCATGTAATAGTCAGCATAGGTCCCGAACGAGTCTGTCTCAAAATAAGACAACGGACTCATATACTCCAGTACGTCGGACACGATATATCTGCGGAAATAAGAAAAATATGAAAGTAACAGCGCGGCTCAGTGCAGGCCAAACACCTCGATATTGTTTATTAAAGCACTAATCCTTAGATATGATCTTCCGATGATTTCAATTGTGATAAAACAACCAATTCTTTATTACCAAAGGGATTTTAGCTTTGCATGTTAGAGTGAAATAAATTAACAGCAAGTGACCCCTCTACCACATAATAAGCTACCACAGGTCTACATTTATACAAGCGCGGATCTAGTGTTAAAATTTGGCTGAAGTATCTAGGAAACTGTACATCAGCATATTATTAATAATAAAAACAGAAATATAGTTAAAAAATAGAAGCCAAATAAATTGAAAAATTAACTTAAAGCTAAGAAAACGATGGATATTTAGTAACATTAGACCAGTAAGTGGCTCTTGATCCATAATATTCTTTTTCCGAAATATTAAAACTTCTAAAAAAAGGACCATTACTCTCATGACCCTCCACCTAGATCCGCGCTTAGCTATACAGGGTGGCTTTTCTAAGTGTATCCATTTTTTTATTAAACTCTAGACATAAATAATCTTATACAATACATGATAAAATTAAAAATCACTCGTAAGTAATTAATTACATTCATTTGAACTTATTTTAAAAGTGCGTGATTTATATGCAACTCATTTATTTTACGCGCGATCATTCTTAATCATAGCTAACACGCACACAAGTTCGTGCACAGTAAAATTTAGGTATTTATGAATGACTACCGCATTGTCAAACCGTTCTGTTTTTTAGGGAATAGAATGGCATTTTTTTGAAAAAAAAATGTTTTTTATTTCAATAAACGATTATATTACGGAGTCTGAACCTCCTGTGTAAATTTGGGCACTTCTCAAAAAATCTCCCTGTATAAGCTGTGCAAGAAAAATAAAGATAAGCGGAGAGGTAAAGATAAACCGATGAAATTTGATAATCATTAATTTAGTATGATATCGCAAAACTAACAATAAAAAGAGTTCACCTGTCCGGAAAAATTGTGGCGCGATACCAAGGTGTGACCACTTTACCGACGTAGCTGTCTTTTGTTACGTGCAGAGATTTTCGTGTCTGGTGGAAAGAAAAGATAAATTCAGAGTTAAATTAGAATGAATACAATATTATATCAAAGCATTATAACAAATTTTAAATTAATCTTAATTGCAGAGATTAGCATTAGCTAGAGCGTCAGGCCGCGAATGCCGAAGACGTGGGTTCGATTCCCACAGCGGCGACAATCTTTTCGTACATTTTCTACAAATTTAGCATTATAACAGTATTTTCTAAATTATTTTGCTTGCTGGACCTGTTATTGTCATAGGTTAAAAGGTACTTTTTTTCATTCTATACATATCGATGGCTCCAAAGTAAACTGCCCTAAGTGAAAAAATCAAATGTTACAGGAGAGCAGGCTAAAGTACCCAGAAAGGTATTTTACGTCAAATCTTGTAAACTACTGAAACATTTTGGAATAAGTATTAATATGTCGTGTTATTTATCATGCTGAGACTAATTTTTGTTTAATTAAGTATATTTCGAGAATTTGCACTTTCGGCTTTTTACATTGTTGATTTTCTTTTATTCATATTTTATTATTCCACGTATACAGGCTTATGTGATCTTCCGCCAATATACGAGAATCAATATTAGTATATGTTTTTATACTAAAATGTTTTTATTTTATTTTTATTGCAATCTCTGTTCTATCGGCGTAAGTAAGCCAGATACATAGTAATATTCGATGTGAAGTGTGAGAGTGTGAGATTCGAAGTGTGAGATTTGTGAAATATTTTTCATAAGTTACGAAAAATATAATGTTTAAAAATAACATATTATATAACGAAAATCGAATTACGTAAAAAGATGATATTTTACACCTCTATTCGTATATCTGAAAACCTCGTGGTTTTCAGTAAATTAATAGTTATAAAAATAAATTTCCTGGTAATGAAATAAAATTTTTAACTCACTAATTATGGTAATGAGAAAATATATAACTGTGTCTTACCTGGACAATCTGTGTCATTATTTTGGTTATGAGGCTCGTCTCCTCGGCTTAAATCAGTGTTGTTGTGTTTATTTATGATTTTATCTATAATTTTATGGGCCCTTTTAAATTGCACACTTTTTTTTGTATATTTTTTTTTCGCTAAAAAGGCACGAGCACAGCTATTATAAAAGACAATCGCCAAAAACTGAGTAAAACGACTGCAGCGGCACCTGCGCCCCTTCGCCACATCTCCGACGCGATTACTCTACACCGTACATGGACCGCTCGGTAAATGGGGCTTTATACGAGAGTAATTTGTGCACAAATCCATAAAAAGAATTTTTTTGTTTTTCATTTTCATAGAATAGGGCAAAGTAAACTTATTGCACTAATAATTGGAAAAAGGCGTAAGCGGCAGTTCCGCCCCTTTACGTAGGAGCCATCGATATTACACTATAGTACACATTCAAGAGTAAAGTAGAGAACTAGTTCAATAGAAAGAAGTAGAGATGATATTATAAACGAGCATAACCTCTAAAGCGGGTGGTGCAACGGGCGGTATATCTCTGTATTTTTGGATTACATCCCAATTGATGTCATATCCATCACGGAGTTTGTCAACGGGCACCACATAAAGATTATTTTTGGTACCATCAAAGACCACAAACTTCTTGGCCACTTCAAGCACTTGATCAAATATGAAGAAATGGAATCTGAAACGTAATTGAATATTAAATTATAACATGACAAAATATCTAAAAAACGTTAAGGTAAACGTAAATTTCTGTTAGAACTATATTTATTATGAATTTATAATTAATAGTATATTTGTTTGTTAATTTCATACATAATTTAATATTTACATTTACACAAGTATAATATGTTTAACTTTAAATGACAATTATATTACACAGTTATACAATACACAATTTTGCTGGTGATGAGACTTACTTAGGTGTTAGATACCTATCTAACTAGGAAAATTAAAAGGTGCCAACGCATCTGCAACCCTACGGGTGTTGCAAACGTCCATGGGCGGCGGTTATCACTTAACATCAGGTGAACCGCCAGCTCGCTAGTCATCTTTTTGCCATACATACTTATTATCGAAAAAAAAATACTTGCATCAGATAGTTTCCTTAACATCATTGTTAAACATAGCTACCATCACGTTTTTGATTATTTATTTTATTAATTTTATTTCAATAATTTCATAACAGAATACCAACTGGTAACTCCCAGCCGTTCCTCCCTAAGGAATTCCTCGACCCTCGCACAAGGATTAGGGGAATGCATGATATTTTACAAACAAACTACTCACTGTTTGATGAACTCGAATAGATCGAGATTCAGTTTTATCACTGCATAGTTCAGTTTTATGGAGGTCATCAGCTCGCCGACCGATAGGAACATCGGGAAGTCGCACAGTTTCGGCAGGGCGTTGTTGGTCAGGAAGCCGTAGCCTTCGTTGCTTTGCAGAATGTTGTACAAAGCTCGCTCGCGGGAGTCCTTTGGCTCCTCGAACATCGTCTGGTGTTCGATCACGTGCAGATAGAATGTTTGTTCCCCGCAATTCCAATCGACGGGCCCATCCAATGACTGGGGATACTGAAAATTAATGTTTCTCCTCATCATTCTTTTTTTTTTAAATCACTGACCTTACTTTAAGATAACATTATCCTGTGTTGTAAGGACGTTTTACAATCATAAATTTCACGTGGACTAACGCCCCGATGCGGAACGACTATCTGTGGGTCACACAAATAGTTGTCCCACACGGGACAACTATTTGTGTGACTATATTTGTGTGACCAATATAGTCACACAAATAGTTGTCCCGTGTGGGACAACTATTTGTGTGACTATTTGTGTGTGTGTGGGGGGGGGGATCGGGCCCACGACGCCCTATGCCGAAGCCAATACCTTGGCAACTGCGCTACGGATTCATCAAATTAATTATTCAATTTAAATTATAGTAACTACCTTTCTAGGATCGCTTTAATGTACTATTCTCATTCAACAAAGACATTTAAATTTCTAACACCAACAAAATAATTTGGAAATGAGTATATAATTTTTAGTGTTGGTTTACCAAGGTTAAAGTTTTGGTTTGCTTGGCAGTAAAGGTTAATTTCACAAGTAAACCTAAGCAACGAAAATTTTTAGACGTTGGCAACGCATTTGTAACCCCTCTGGTGTTGTAATCCATGTCTATGAACGGCGGTATTCACATAAAAGATGAACTAGCACTCCACACCATCACTTGCAAACTATTTACATAAAAAAATAGAAATGCCTATGCACAAGAACATGTATACATAATAAAAATACAATTATAATAGCCGGCGGTTCACCGCCAGCTCGCTTCCAGCGAATAACCTCTGCCCATAGTGGTGCGTAACTGTTTTAGGATACGCAACAGTATTCGCTGTTGCACAAATGGGCAGGTCAACAACAAAGTAGAACACATCTGCAACTGGTGTTGCAAATGTCCGTGGGCGGCGGTTATCACTTAACATCAGATGAACCGCCAGCTCGATTGCGACTTTTTCAAATTAAAAAAAAAAAAAGTTGCCCTTTAAATAAAGTGGGTCCCGGCTACCTCATTCGCCTGACGAAACGCAGAAGTGTAACACTTCTATATCACGCTAGTCTTCTGTGAGGTCGTGGAACTTACCCGGGCCTGCCCATTCGTGCAACAGCGGACACTGTCGCGTGGCCACACCACAGAAGATTTTCGTGGCCCTACCACAGAAGATTCTGAATATGTACGTGAAAGCATACCACTCTAGCGTGTTTCCGCACCCGCCTTTTGGAGCCGCTATATGGAAGATTCACGTGGCGTTCATCCTCGTCGTCGTCCCAGGGCCAGTTGAGGAAGCATCCCTTTATGTCGTGTTCCTCGTAATTAACTTTCCTGTATCGAATTAATGGGGTATTTTCAAGTTTGTCTTATTGACAACGTCCTTTACGTGAAGCGTTTTGTTAATAGCGTTTACATCGCTCGGCAAACTTGCCGATAAAAGAAGAGCATATACAAAACATAACTATGTTTTCTATATGCATTGCTAACTTCATGCACACGGCGGGCGGCTTTATTAGGCATGAGATATACCTGCAACATTCTATACCCGGCCTCAAAGGTACGGGTATCACCGTATACCCGGTGCTAAAACCCAGTATCAAAATACCTATAGGTATTAGTTATGTTCAGGCCTCCTTTTGGAGACTCGGTCGAATCAAACGAATTGAACCTTTGGTTGGAATCGGAACATTTAGATGTTTATTTAGCAATCAGTTTTTTTTTTAATTGAGATTTAATCAGTCTAAAATAAGCTCCATCTTTAATAACGTAAAGAACCCTATTATCAAAAAAAAGTAATTCAAAATAAATATTACTATTTAACCTTATTACGCAATTATTTATCTACCTAATTGTCATAGAAATAAAGAATAAATTTATCTCAAGGAATTATTTGGTATAAAATCCCTAAATCATAATTACGGTTCATCATTCGGGCATGATCGGGAAGAGCCGCCGTAAGCGTTCGGGGAACTTCGTACCTATTCGGCCGGCGGGTTGTCGCGAGCGTTATATACCGCCACCGTCGGACGAGGCGGCCATACCTATCGGGTATGGAATGGGCCTCTGCCGTACATACCCGGTGTGCATACTGGGATGTTCATACTGGGTATTTATACCTGTGCCAGTATATACGCCTCATCCCTAGGCTGTATGTGTAGATGCGATTTGAGATTCTAGTAATTGTTATAGCAATAATTGTTATAGTGTAAAATAAGACAATACTACGAGTATATGAAACGAATAGATGTAACATATTACTAGTATTGTAATAAATAACACGATATATATCAGAAGAAGAGAGAGAGTTATCAGCTGAGATAAAAAACCTATAGATTAAATGAGCCATAAATTGTAATAGTAAAAGATGCAAAATATTATTCTCTACAATAATGGCTGGCTAATTCTTTTACTTTTGCCCTAAAGTGCATAGTTTCCGAGATATCGGGCAAAAACTTTTTTGAAGTTATACTTCTTTTGGCGCGTTAGGGAAAAATGATGAAAGTAAATTTGAGAAAGACAACCGTATTCACGATATTTATTTTATGATATTTAAATAAACTTTATTTAACTAGATAATGCGTTATAATAAAACTTTCAATGTCTTAAATACCTTTTCTCTATTGTTAGTGTCGTTTTTCTACAAACGTAAAATAAGGCGAAAGATAAAATTTTTGAAAACATTTTTATCTTGTTACGCCAAAGTAGGTATAACTTGTAACGTGTGTACATAAATACACTCACACATTTTTTTTTTCAAGATGGCGCCGAATGCTGTCAGCATTTTGTGATTTTATACTTAGTTAGTGATCCCTTACCTTATACAGCGTGTCGTTACCATCGCGACAATAAATGAACACACATAAAAGGGATAACTTTTTAAAGTTGTATTAAACATTTAAATTCTTTAAATATCAATATTTACAGAGTTATTAAATTTTCCAAAACAAAGAATTTTAGAACACCCTTACCTATAAAAGCGTAACGTAAAGTTCAATTGTAAAGGTCACAAAGCACATGAATGGGTTGAATGAATTTAAAAGCGACAAAACATACTGTTAGAAGGAGAGGCTTGTAATGCGACGCTGTGGCGCGAGTTGTATAGGATGTTACAAATTTTGTTTCTTTTTTACTCAATTACTTTGTTTGAAAAATATTTTTTTTAATTATGGATGTTGTTTAACGTTAACATTTTTTTTATGATTATTAGCAAGTAGCGTTAGACGTGTGTTCATTTATTGTCGCGATGGTAAAGACACGCTGTATAAAACAAAAATTGGTTCGGAAATTTAGTGCGAAGTTAAATTCTATTTTATCTGGCCTACACAGCAAAAAGCATTGCAGATGATTTAAGTGACACCAATTTTGGAGACCTCTACACTATTATTATAGTAAAAGGGATTTACGAAGTATTTCAATTAGATATAGAACAACGAAAACGATGAATTTTCTACTAGTGAACGCTAATAAAACACGGAAGCGGCGCGTTCATACAAGTGTTAATAAATAGCACCACAACTCCCACTGACATTTATCACGCGCTGTCAAACAAATTTATGAACTTATTTGTTAGTTCAACTAAGTCCACATCCCTAAAACCGCCTCGCGGTACGGTTTATATGCCCCGCGTCCTCACGGTATAGTTTTTCGTTATGTCATTTTGGAGCGACAATAAAGCTTCCATGTTTATTTTCGTTCACTATTTTCTACACGTAGTACAAATTTAAAGAAAATACTGACCCGTAAGCCTTTGGCAGAATCGTGATCGGATCCAGTTCCCCGGCCTGATGCAATTTTTGGCAAGCCTTTAAGGCGGCGGAACGTTTGGCATTCTTCAAATCGAGCATTGGTTGACCCTAAAAGTGTGAAATTCTATTTAGGAAATGGATCAAAAACAACCTCACGGTATATTAACTAAATGTGACCAACGGGATGAAGAAGTTGCACAAGTTTCTTTAATATATTGCTTATGAATACAGTTATATATTTTAATATATATTTATTAGATTCGATTATATTAATGGTAAAAAACTATGTAGAGTTTCTTAAGTAAGTAACAGCACTTTGCCCAGCTGGAAGTCTTTGCACACAGCTAGGAAAAGCCTCCTCTGTACAGAGGGTATCAGGCCATAATTCACCATGCGACCCTACAGCGGATTGGCGATCTTCGAAACATTTTTTTTGTTATTATTTCGAAAATATGCAGGTTTCCTCACGATGTTTTCCTTCACTGGTGAGCACAGGATAAGTCAACACTTAAAATTAACAATTTCATTGGTGCCGGCACCGGGGTTTGAACTCAGGTTGCTAGAGTATATTTAATTAAAAGCGCGCGCCTGGTCAATAAGCTATCAGGGCTGTTTCACGTTATTTTTCAGTATTAACAATAACGGGGCGACCAGTGACATGGGTTGTGATATCATACTTTAATTGGTTCCTTAATCGGACATGATAGGGGCAGCAGTATGGTGATGACCACGCGATTCATTTTCTCCTCCTTTATCCACATCGGCGTGATGATAGTGTACTGGTCGTGCGGTAAACAGGAGCAGTAGCGATTCAGCAAACTAATCGCCGAAACGGCCGACAGCCGATCTGTAAAAAGCAACGGACAGCCTATACAATATAGCCCACTGCGGGACAAAGGCGTCTGCTTTGATAGAACATTGGTAAGCCTTATGTTATATCAAAGTCAAAATTCCTTTGTTCAATAAACAAATTTAAAGTTCTTATTGAACGTCAACAAGTCCATTTTTCAAACGACCTCAAAAAAGGAGAAGGTTCTCAATTCGATTGTATTTTTTTTTGTTTGTTACCTTAGAACTTTCGTAACTTAGTAAACCACCGATTTTGATGTTTCTTTATTATTTGAAAGCTGCTTACTTCCGTGCTCTGTCACGTATGGCGGAATATCTTCGTCGTCGTACAGACATTTCGTGATTTCCCGCGCTGTCGGCTCGCACCTCGTATCCGACTTGCCAACTAACATCTGGAAATGTATAAAAAAAAATTAAACGAAACGCCAGCTCGTTCGCAAAAGAAATTAAACCGGCATCACTTTGTCGATCCGTGAATTCTGCGAATGAATGTGTATTGGAACATGTTCAAAAAACAGCGTTGTTCACAATTGTGCACCAACGTGCGGTGCGAGCAAGACTGAAAGCGATTTCGATTGCGGCGCGAAAGAGACGGCGATACCCTTTCCACCTTTCCCCCTCAGACATCTATTATCTGCGTACGAGTTAAGTTAACAATCTATCATTCCGTTGACGTAAATAAGAAGAGTTTGGTGAAAACTTACGTTTTGAATGTGTTGTTCGATTTTCTGGAACTCTTTATATTTTTTCATGAATTTGTCGTGATTTTTCTCCTCTATCAAGATTACGAAGGAAGATTTCGGGTCTCTTGCGCGCCCTGAAATAGTTAAGAAATAATAGACCGCGACATATGACATATTTCAGTTTCAACTTTATTTCCGTTTCAGGTTTCAGTTTTAGGTTTCAAAATATAAGAAAGGGGAAAAGACGCTTTTGACGCTATGTGCTTTCGTTAGAACTCTATTATATTATCTAGATCAAGTAAAAACTTTTGAGTCTTATTCACTAAAAGCTTTAGGAAAAGTTAGGAAAACGGGACCCTCCCCATTACCACGAGTTGTAGGTCGAACCCCTATGTTCTGTTAAGAATTTGTACCAAGATTATTATTCCAGTTAAAATTACCATTCCAGACTGCAAGTGTCAAACGCAAGCGTCTCTTCTCCCTACACTGGGATCAAAGAACTTTACAACTTAATACAGTTTCACTTTGAGTGCAGACTAACATAAGAATAAAAAATATCACAAATTATTCAATCAATGTTAAGTGCAGAGATTAGCACTATAAAAAACTTTAAAATTTATAAAAAGCAATGGCGACATCGTTGTAAAACGATATTCGAAATTGCTGGAAAGAATATAACAATAGATGCGCCAAGCATTGCTTCAAATGCTAAATAACAATGTAGAAAGAAGGCGTTAAGATTTTCGTCGCTGTGGCTATCAGCCGTTTAGCTCAGTGGCTAGAACGTCAGGCCGCGGCGATAATCTTTTCGTACTTTTTCTACATTTTTTAAAAATCATCCGTATCGCATGCAATATGTAATACCTTTGCTCTGAATATACGATCGATATTCCTCCGGCTGGTCAAAACGCAGAACCAAAAGGCATTGCGAAACGTCGATGCCTTCCTCGATAATACTCGTAGATATGAGGCAATTGAGGTCTCTGTATAATTTATATACAACATACATTTCACTTAAAAACAATCACAATCAAGAACAGTCAACAGTTTTTGAATGTGGTAGGGCGACAGAGCAGCTTTTTTATGTTCTAAATCGCAGGCTCTTCCGGAGAAGTACCGCGTAGGGTTGCCAACATTTCTACGACTGATTAAAGTATTTTTAAAACAGATTCTTAAAGTATCTATATGCATAGTACTTCGTGGATAAAATGAAGAATACACAAACGTATATTTGTTATTTAAATGAAATTTAGTATTCTTGCGCAGGCCCGGTCGCTGACTATTACTATACACTGTCAATTACTATATATTATAGTAGAATTGGCAAACCTAGTACCAAGGTCTCGCAGAAGAACGGTGAGATGGGTATTAAACTTTCGCGTTTCCTCTGGTTGAGTGAGTTAGAAAGGACTACTTTTAATCTCGGCATCGCATCTGCCACCCCTCAGGCCTAATTGAAAAGGGCTTACAAAGAAGGTATTTCTATAACAAAACAAGGAATAAAAAGTTATTAGCATGTTACTAGCATGCTATTATCATTATTAATTATGATTTTTTTCCATAATATTATTATCTATGGTCTCTGGTTACAACTAAAATAAATTGCGGTGGTAGGGCCACGCCACGCCACGGCCAGCCTCGGCCGTTGCACGAATGGGCAGGCCCGTCCGGGTAAGTACCACGACTTCACAGAAGACCAGCGTAAAGTAGAAGTATAACAAATACTTTCGCGTTTCGTCTGGTGAGTGAGGAAACCTGAGCCCAATTGAAAAATTCAAAAGGTTGTGTAACCCTCGGGTGTTGCAGATGTCCATGGGCGGCGGTATTCACTTACCATCTGATGATCCGTCTGCTCGTTTGGCAACTTTCACATTAAAAAAAAATTGTATTTATTTATATGCCAAATGATACCCACGCTTACATCAACTGGATCACATGAATCCAGATTCATATTTAACAATAACAATTTTTAGTATGAGTATGTTTATATTATGGTAGGATTTATATACAGCGTGTCGTTACCATCGCGATAATAAATGAACACACGTCTAACGCTACTTGCTAATAATCATAAAAAAAATATTAACGTTAAACAAAATCCATAATTAAAAAAAAAATATTTTTCAAAGAAACTAATTAAGTAAAAAAGAAACAAAATTTGTAACATCCTATACAACTCGCGCCACAGCGTCGTATTACAAGCCTCTCCTTCTAACAGTATGTTTTGTCTCTTTTAAGTTCATTCAACCCATTCACATGCTTTGTGACCTTTACAAATGAACTTTACGTTACGCTTTTATCGGTAAGGCTGTTCTAAAATTCTTTGTTTTGGAAAATTTAATAACTCTGTAAATATTGATGTTTAAAAAATTTAAATGTTTAATACAATTTTAAAAAGTTATCCCCTATATGTGTGTTCATTTATTGTCGCGATGGTAACGACACGCTGTATGTTCAATATAGTTAACATGTATGAATGAGGTGGATGCAAGAATTATTTTTGTTAAATTGAATTTATGTCACATATTATTATGAAATCACTATTACTTATGAAATGTCATTTTTATTGCCTCTTCTTTATTTTGTAATTAGTTTTTGCAAGATTTGAATACGCAGAACTTAATATGTAATAGATCAATAATTTTCATGTATCTGAAGAGTTGCCTCTTTAGCATGCCGTTTTAGGAATCTAGATGTAAACAAAGGACAAAACAAATATATAAATTTCAACTTACTTATTACAAAACTTAAGTAAGATTTGCTGGCTCTTTTTCTTCGTAAAATATTCTTCCCTTGTATTGTTGTATGGGTTAATATTGAAACCAACAATGAAATCGTGCTTTAAAAAGGCATATTCCTGATTCACTTCAGACACGTCCTTTAGTAAGTTGTAAAGCACTTTTGCGGTGAATCTTTTCTTCACAAATATGATACCGGATAACATATTCTTATTGCAGTTCACATTCAATTTAGCTGAAATGGAAATGGAAATAATCATAAAGAATAAACTGGTCAAAGAGAAGTTGATTAATAAAATACTACTTAAGGGGCAATTCCCATGCTCGAAATTCAACAGAAATTATTATTTATTTTCTTTATTGCTGTATTTAATTTAGATTACTTCAGTTTATGTGACGTTTTAAAATTTAAATTTGAATTAAATATAATTTAATTGGTGAATACCTTTACTATGAGCAACTTCGCGCATTCTACGAAAAATAAATACATTATATAAGCGTTTAGTTTTACGTATCACTGTAAAGATTGGAAATAAAGTAGTTTCGGATACTTTATGCAGAAGTATAAAGTATATTTATCGAAAATAAAGTAGGATTATAAATTATGGTTATCAACCCTAGTTACTGATCAAGACAGTGCGAAAATGTCGGGCGGGTCAATTTGTAGAGATTATAGGTACACACTATGCATAGTGTTTTAGATTAAAATTAATTAAAATCGTATTAGAATAAAACCTAAATAAAAACCGAAGCAGCTTGACAATATCTAACTCGGGCTTTGAATGAGCCTTTTTTAAAGCTGACTAAACTAATTATTTATTTTCTCTCATCCTACGCACTTTTTTTCTGTTGTAGGGCCACGCAATAGCTTTCGCGGTTGCACGAATGGGTAGGTCCGTCGGGTTAAGTACCACAACCTCACAGAAGACCCGCGTAAAGTGGAAGTATGACAAATACTATAAGTGCTATACTTCTGCGTTTCGTCTGGTGTGTGAGGTAGCCCGCATCTGCAACCGTATGGGTGGTGGAAATGTCAATCGCCGGCGGTTATCGCTTAACATCAGGTGAGCCGCCAGCTCGTGTGTCCACTTCTTGCATAAATACGATATAATACGAATTTACAATCAATTAAGCGTAAACAATTAGCACCGTCCATAAGCGTGCGGATACTTGCTTTTGCGTTTAGCATCTCACTGGTAAAAAAAATGTAAATCTACATATTAAAAATTTTAATAAACATAAAATAATCTCACAATCAGACTGAACGACGCTGGGATTGTATTCCTTCAATACGTTCAAAAGTTGTATCACTTTATCAGACGAGTGCTTTACTACCTTCTCAAAACCTTCCTCGTGGCTCATTGCATAATCTAGGACCATTCTGACCCTGAAAAATGTATCGGAACCAAAATTATTATTTATTTTAATTAATAATTTTAAAAATTACAAACGTTAAAATCACTCGCAATCCACGAGCATCGGCCGAGTGTTTTGCACATGCAAAATATTTTAGGTTCGCGCTAATTAGTTAAGTTATGGTTGAATATAGGCTTCAGCAATTTAAAACAGCAGCGCTGATTCTAATTACCACAAATCGATATTATGCTCATTGATTGAGATAACCGAGAACGAATTAATTTGTTAGGAAAGCGTTTGAACTTGTGGTGGTACTGAATTCACAACATTTACTTCAAGTATTCATGAGTCAAAATTACTTAAATGCTGATTTAGTCCCAATCAACGTGTGGCGATAACGATTTAATAATTAAGAATTAAAAGTCCGTACGTAACCACTTTAATAGTATTATAGATGAGCGTTATTGTGCGGAAATTATGAAAAAAGGCGTGTCAAAAAACAAAACGAGCGATGGATAGATAACGACGACGACGAACGACTAACTACACACACACACGAACGAGTCGCGGCAATACACACCTCGGAATTTAGTGTGTAATAACTTCTCTATCTTCTTGAAAGGTTCTAGCCTCCTGTCGATGGTAGTGTTAGAATCGTCAACACGGAAATAAATGACTACACCGTTCTACAGAAACGGGCTCACGCAGAGTTCAGTTAGCTCACATTGAATCGAATTGGTTCAGTTGTTCAGTCATACGCCCGTTTTCTGAAACACTGAGCGTAGATGTTAACTAAGCGGCCGTCAAATGGTTATAACTCTTTGAATTGATCATTCTGATCGTTAAGAAGAACATTCTGTTCAATTCAGAGAGTTTAACCATCCTTTTGGCAACTTAAATAACATTTGTTATTAGTTAGTTAACATCTACGATGATCAGCGTTTCAGAAACCGGGCGTTAGTCTTTTAAATAAGGCTACAAATAACAATTTAACGGTTTATGTCTCGTTAAGAGCCAACCGCCGGAAAATGATTCGATGTACTCACTCGACTAAACTTGTTATCGAACACCTGTACATCAATTCCTCATCCGGTGTCAGTGCCCTGCGCTTGAGTTGCTCCAATAGAATGATGTAAGCCAGGACACTTATATTCCCACCGTAAATCCCTAACTCCCATATGAACTCAATAATTGACGATATCATATTCTTGACCTGCTTTACAGTCTGAAACAAAGTTGCCAAAGTGTTCAAAACTTTGTTTTAAATTATTAACATAGAACCAATCTAAGGTGAACAGCAAACACTTATCGGTCGCGGTCGTCATAAATACATAAATAAAAACACATGCACATAGTAAAAATGTGTGTGTGTGTGTGTGTGTGTGTGTGTGTGTGTGTGTGTGTGTGTGTGTGTGTGTGCGTGTGTGTGTGTGTGCGTGTGCGTGTGCGCGTGCGCGTGCGCGTGTGCGCGTGTGCGTACGTGTGTGATAATTATTACGAATCCTTTGTTTGTACCAAGGACGGCTCCTAGTCAGTACCATTAACAGCACGATAAGGATAGAAGAAACTACTAGCGTTTTATAGATCAAACTCGTGGAAACTAAACATCATCCATCGGAATAGTCAAAGAGGTAATTAAAACGAATAATTTAAAGTACCAATACAGCCGTGGTAATAAAAGTACAAATCGGCACTCGCCAAGGGCAATTTCAATAAGGGGTTACAAAAAGAGAAGGTGGAGTGGAAGTAGCTTGAAGTGTTTTTTTTATGCCAAAAGTTGTCAAACGAGCAGACGGTTCACCTGATGTTAGGTGAATACCGCCGCCCATGGACATCTGCCACACCCGAGGGTTACAAATGCGTTGACAACCTTTTGAAAATTGGGCTCCGGCTACCTCACTCACCAGACGAAACGCTAAAGTATTTGTCATACTTCCACTTTACGTTGGTCTTCTGTGAGGTCGTGGTACTTACCCGGACGGGTCTGCCCACTCGTGCAACAGCCGAGGCTGCTGCGTGGCCCTACCACCGTAATCTTTCACGTTTGGTCTGGTGAACGAGGTAGCCGGGGCACACTTTTAACGTTGGCAGCACATCGGCAACCTCGTGTTGCGGATGTTGCGGTAATCACTTAAATCAGGTGAAGCAACTAGCTAGTTAGCCAACTTTTAACATCAAAAAAAGGATTTCAACCAGTCTTACGAACCTTCTTGGGATCGCTCGTTATATTCTTCTGACCGTGAAGCAATTTCACATCCTCCTGATTCTGTTTGTCCGGCAATTTAACTGAAAGGACGAATTTCTCGAGGGCGATCAGAAGGCTGACCGCCTCTTCGGCGGCGCTCGTAATTGTTCCAGATTTATATGGTATCACAAATTCGGACGGGTTCGTTGAATAGCTGCGGACAAGGTTTAATTTCACTGTGACAGTCAAGATCGTTTTATACTTCATATTAAATTATTGCTAGGTACTCCCATTACATATTACATTATTACTAGTCTCCTAGTAAAGTAAGTAAATTACGGCCTTTACATATACTATGGCTACTACGTAAAGGGGCGAAACTGCCGCTTACGACTTTTTCCAACTATTAGCGCAATAACTTTACTTTGCCTTATTCTGTGAAAATGAGAAAAATCATTTTTTTTATTGCTAAATCCAAAATTAAATTTTAGGCAAAAAGGCGTATGTGCATTTGTCGCATATAAAGCCCTATGGAACGATCAGTCCACGTACGGTGTAGAGCAATCGCGTCGGAGATGTGGTGAAAGGGCGGATGTACCGCTTCAGTCGTTTCACTCAGTATTTGGCGATTGTCTTTTATAATAGTTGTGCTCGTGCGATTTTAGCGAAAATTAATTTATAACTTAGCTGGTTTAAACGAAAATTATACCAAAAAAGGGGTGCAATTTACAAGAGCCTCGTAATCAAAATAATGACACTGAATGTCTTATTTCATTGATGAATAAGGTTGACTGGTAGACTAAGGTTGACTGGTAGAAAATGCCTTTGGCATTAAGTCCGCCTTTGTACTAGATTGTGCATAAAGTGTAAATAAATAAATAAATAAATTTCCAGGTAAGACAATACTTTCATATTTACTTTTTAATAAATATAACATTATATTAGTGCGTTAAGATTTTATTTCATTGTCACGAAATTTATCTTTATAACTATTAATTTATCTTTATTTTAGATGTAAAATACCATCTGCCTTTTTACGTAGTTCGGTTTTCGTTATATCATATGCACCTTTTTTTTAAATATTATATTTTTCGTAACTTATGAAAAATATTTTACAAATTTCATACATAACGAATATTACTGTGTCTGGCTTACTAAGATAACGCCCTCATTATTTAGGTATTACTATTGACTTAATAACATATTTTAGTATAAAAACGTATATCTTATCCTTTAAACGAGCAATTCTTGTGTATATATATATATATAATTGGAATCTCGGAAACGGCTCCAGCGATTTTCATGAAATTTAGTATGTGCATAGATTCGGGGGCGAAAAATCGATCTAGCTAGGTTTCATTTTTAGAAAATGTCATTGCTTCCTTTATTTTAAATTTTTTGTCGATTTGTTATTTTGTAATTTTTTTTCCCCTTTTTTTAAGTTCTTTCTTTTGTGAAAAACATCAGTTCGTATTTTCTTATTAGTACGTCGGTAAGATCGAAAAATATTATGCATATTTCATTACTCAGTAATTTGTAAAAAAAAAAAACAAACCGAGCAAAGCTCGGTCCTCCGGGTACTTAATACTGATTCTCGTAAATGGGCGGAAGATCACAAAAGCGTTTTTACGTGGAATAATAAAAAATGAATAATAGAAAATCAATGATGTGAAAAGTCGAAAGTGCAAAATCTCGAAATATATTTAAATTACACAAAAATTAATTAAAAGTCTCAGCATGATAAATAACACATGTTAATACTTATTGCAAAATATCAATAAAATTGCTTCAGTAAGTTAAAAGATTTGACCCAAAATACATTTCTGGCTACTTTAAACTGCTCTCCTGTAAAGTTTGATTTTTTCACTTAGGGCAGTTTAATTTGGAGCCAACGATATGTCACTGCTGGGCAAAGGCCTCATCTGTACAGAGGGTATTAGGGCATGGTACATCGGTATTAGGGCATGGTACATCATGCGACATCATTGCGGAACCACAGACTTCACATGTCTTCGAAATTTTGTTTTTTTGTTATGATTTCGAAAATATTCAGGTTTCCTCAAGATGTTTCCCTTCACTGCTGAGCGCGTTGTAAATGAGGACTTAACAATTTCATTGGTGCTGGCACCGGGATTTGAACTAACTTTGCGCGAGTATAATGAATTAAAAGCGAGCTATCGCGACTATTATCACTAGTCTCGTATTAATAAGTTTGTAATCCGTCGTTATCGTTACTCGGAAAGCGCAGGTTCGAATCCTAGCAGCGAAGATTTAAATTTTAAACATTTTCAAATTTCATTTTAAGTGCAGGGACAAGCACTTGAAATAATAATTAAATAGGAAAATTAAAAAGCATAAATTTACTTATACTACGTAACCGCAGTTACTTGGGCGTATAGGTGTGAACCGTGTTGGTTGATATTCGGTTGCATAAGTGAAAATCAACGCCGATCCGTCAAACTTGCAAATGTTACAACAATTATAGTCATTAGAATTTGAATTTCAAATAAATAATGACGCGTTTCTAACACAATATCACTTGTATACACAATAGCTTTGCCACGGAAGCTCTTTCCGCCTGTATTATGAAGCTTCATTGCACAAGAATAGTATAAGTATTTGTATTAGGTATTTGTTATTATATAGATATGTAATATATTTGATGATTTTATTTTTCTATATATATATTAATGTAATTATTTTTGCACTATTATCCCGCAACTTTATTATCTAATCCTATACCCTAAGGTTGCCTGGAAGAAATTGGTACCTTAGCAATAAGGCCGCCTGTATGTACACTATCTTTCCGGTATTTTCTTCCTTGTATTTCCTTGTGTGCAATAAAGTATATTCAATCAATCAATCAAGAACCCCGTGAAGATACAGTATTTTACGAGCTTTATAGATTTCAGACACAACAGCTCTGCGCTTTGGTGTTGAGTCGACAATTGATAGGGAGAATATAAAAATAACACAGGAAGTAATATGACGCATTTTAACACTGCGCTATGGTGTTGAGTCGACAATTGACAAGAAGAATATAAACATAACACAGGAAGTAAGACGACGCACGTTTACAATCTTCTCAAGTTAATACCGTCAATTATACTAACATTCGTGAACATAATATTAAAATAGGAGAAGCTTTGTAATCTTCGATTGCAAGTTGTAATCGTTTTAATCTGGACACTAAGATATATACACTCGATTTCGAGACCCCGTTTGTACTTTCTCTAATTGTATTTGATAATATTTATGCAATCATTTTCTATAACCGATATAAAGCGATTTCTTGACCCCATCTGCGTTTTTACTGATTGCAAATTATAGACTGCTGTCAAAAAGTAGCGAGTACGTATATTATAATTATATTTATTATGCAATTATTTCCTGTATACATGTGCATAAAGGGCATCGTTAGATTAAACCAAGTTTATAAGTCTCACGGAGTTTAATTTTATATTTAATTTCGTTCCGGAACTTTAAGTGTCCATGATAAGAGGAAATAAATATGTAACATTGAATTAAACATTGATAAACTAGTGAAAAAAGTTCAATTTAACAATAACATATTTTCCTATTAAGATTAGTAACACAGTTATTTGTTTTTTCATAACATAACCATCATGTCGCGTTCATAATTTGTTTTACATAAATATTAAAATTAAAGAAAAATGAAGAAAACTGTATGCCCGTAAACCGAATGCAGTACAAGAATACATTACGTCAACACTTCTCCGAGCTCGTTTACAGTAGCGATCGTTGCGTGGAATGTCGTCTCCAATTTCCGCAGATTTTCTTCGACTCTATGCAGGTTGACGTTAGCGTTGAGTAGTGTGGCTGTTAATCCTGAAACGTAATAACGTCGAAGACAATCCAGATTGGCTTACGAATCTTTTGACTAGTACCCAGATTATTCGAAATTATTTTGGAAATGCACAATGCCAGAATGACCTTTTATACCGTAATTCGCTGATTTCGTAACTATAATGGACGCAATTTTTTTTTGCCAAAAAAATTAAACTCATTTATCATCCCTTGGTTAGTGTGATAGATAAGAATATTGGATGGAAACAGAAAATGGGATAAAAAGTAATGGGATAAGAAGTATTTAAAAGCGCAGTATCAGACCGTGCCCATAAAGCCAAGATGGACGGTACGATATCCCGACCTCGACATGTGTGGCCTAAACTAGGATTTACTAATGAAAAAGTGAATGGAATATTGAGCTGGCGTTCACATCTAGATCGATCTAAAGCAGCGGTGGTCAACCTTTTTCAAAGCAAGTGCGCAATGAAAAATGTTTTCAGCACGTGGCCGTTGCTTTTTTTCTTTTTAGAGATTTAAGATTTAATTTCTGACTAATATCAGCTAAATAAGATAAATCACATGGCCTAGGATCTTTAGGAATATTATAAATTTTAAAGGCTCCGTAGCAGTGTTGCCAAGGTATTGACTTCGACGTCGGGGGTCGTGGGTTCGATTCTCACACGGGACAACTATTTGTGCGACCCACAGATACTTGTTTCGCATCTGGGTTGCGTTTTGTTTTTCCTCGTGCAATTTATGTTTGTAAAACGTCCTTACAACACAGGTTAATGTTATCCTAAAGTGAGGGAGCTGTTTAAAAAAAAAAGAAAAAAAAAATATATTCAAAGCTTTTTATTTCAGCATTCAAGAAAAGTGCGCCTTACTCTATGCATAAAGCTTCTGGTATGAATCAGTTCTACTCGGCTTATAGCTGCCAGAAAATTTATTTCTAACAATCTTACTACTACATCTGAGTATAAAAGTGTAAAATAAAATCTCAAACTGCAAAAAGTTTCCTGAAGCACACAAACACTTGCATAAACATCACCTAACCAATGATTATGGTAAATCATCCATACTTCCAAAAATAACAAATTTTGAACTAAATTAAATTTTTTTTTCTCCTTTCAATGAAATGAATCCAATTTTTTCATCCTTTCAATAATATTTTATGCTATGTTATAAAAGTAAAGTAAAGTAACAGCCTATACATGTCCCACTGCTGGGCAAAGGCCTCCTCTATATAGAGGGTATCAGGGCATAGTCCACCACGCGGCCCCACTGCGGATTGGCGGACTTCACATATCTTCGAAATATTTTTTTTTTGTTATTATTTCGAAAATATGCAGGTTTCCTCACGATGTTTTCCTTCACCGCGGAGCACGTGATAAGACAGCACTTAAAGTTAAAAACTTCATTGGTGCCGGCACCGGGGATCGAACTCAGGTTGCTCGAGTATATTGAATTAAAGGCGAGCGCCCGGACACTGAGCTATCACGGCTATGTTATACGAATACAAAATCACCTGTGTTCAATCAAGTGTCCAAACAGAGTGACAGCACACAGTCACACGTTTAGTTCGAATGGTATATAAAATATCGCATTAATAAAGCAATAGATAAGAAAAAAGAGGAAGGCAAGTGTTTGTCACTAGCATAGCCTCTTTCTTTGTTTGCCCAATTGCAACGTTTTCGTGGCTTCACTCCGGGCGCGATAACAACATATTATCTTCAGTATTAAATATCATTTACTAGCGACTTTATTATGATACACATAAACCTTCCTCTTGAATCACTAAATCTAATAAAAAAACCACATCAAGATCCGTCGCGTTTTAAAGATCTGAGCATACATAGGGAAAGACAGACAGCGGGACGATTTTGTTTTATACCATGTAGTGATTTAACTACTCAATATAAACCGTTTCAAAAACTTACCCAAAACTCTTGGCTGAAACTCCTTGGGGCAGTTTTCGAAATGCTTCATTACCATCCGCATTGGGTGGTCATCAATCGCGTGATGGCATTCGTCGCATACTAAAAGATTTATGTCGCTGACCTTAACGTATTTGTGTGTGAGCATGTCGCAAAGGATTTGACTCGTCATCACTATTACCTACGACAAAACAAACATTATAAATCCGTTATACGCTATCCACGCATCCATTAAAAAAGGTAATCATAACTTCTAAATGAGCCTTAAAAATATATAGCCTTAATAATATGAAATGGCTTTCATGCTTTTCCAGAGAGAAAACTGTAAGATGTAGGAAAGGCTGAGAGAAATAGACAAGGTATATTTAAATTTACAAATAGATGAGTATGGTGTCAAGGGTGAGAAAACTGAGGATTTCTTTTCATTTGAAGAGGCAATTAATTGTATTGTAGGTAACAGGAAGGTAATGTTTACCTGGTATTGTCGCAACTCTTCATCCCATTTTTGTTTATTCCAGAAATCTATTCTGTCCTCACCGCTATAACCGTTTACGCCTTTTACGGGACATAACTCCGAAATTACTTTTTGCTGGAAATAAACAGGGCAATTTCTCGTTGTTATAAAACGAATCTAATACACTTTTAGCTCGTTCGGCAGGAAGTTTGCCTAGTGAAATCGGCCGATGTCGATTCGAAAACACAATCTGATATATTGTAGTAGGCATCAAATTATAATTCTTTTCATTTGAGGTGGCCACACTGTAACCTCCCTACCTGGCTCCTCGAGTGGGAAGTTGGGTATTATGGTTCGCTCCGGCTGACTCAATTGGACTGATTTTTTTTTTCAATATAGAAGCATTCACTTACTTATTGATAGTCAAAAAACTCTACCACCGGTTCGAAAGGAAAGCCACTGACCTGAGAAGAACCGGCGTAAGAAACTCAGCGGGACATTTTTTTTACTTGCCAAAAAAATTACAAATATGTGTACAATTATTAAATTCCACTTGAAAGAGCCTGGAACGATCAATTCATTTCCAGAGTGTGTTATCATTCAGATAATCACTAATACTATAATAGCCATTAACACACAAACGTTCCTTTACAAGTTTTTTGAATTTAGCAACGGATTCATTTTGAACGTTTTCTGGAATTTTGTTGTAAAAGCGTATACATTGTCCCATAAAAGATTTACTTATTCTACGCAGTCTAGTTGAGGGTAGAACTAATTTATGCTTGTTCCTTGTATTAACATCATGCACATTACTATATCTAGAAAAGTCATTCTTATTTTTGTGGACATACATAACATTAGCAAGTACGTACTGAGAAGCTACAGTCAATATTTTTATTTCTTTAAACAGTTCTTAGTGAAACTTTGGGGCCCAGGTTATAAACCGCTCGAATAGCTCTCTTTTGCAGGATGAAAATAGTATTTATGTTGGCTGCATTTCCCCAAAGTAGAATGCCATAAGACATTACACTGTGGAAATAGCTAAAATATACCAGACGAGCCGTATCCACATCAGTCAACTGTCTAATTTTTTTGACTGTGAAGACTGCTGAGCTAAATCTACTCGACAGTTTATTAATATGGGGGCCCCACTGCAATTTGGCATCTACAGTTATGCCAAGAAATACAGTCGAGTCAATTAGGTCTAACGCTACCCCGTGTAAAAGTACATCAATTTTTACACTTTTTACGTTGGGAGTTGTAAATTTAATACATTTCGTTTTTTTACTATTCAACATTAAGTTGTTAGCAATGAACCAATGCACTACAGTGGAGAGAGTATTGAAAAAAAAGATTGAGACAACAGGGTGAGGCTGGGTTACCCAGTCAGGGGTAAGTCAGAATTTATATTAAATAGGCATAGGGATATATATATATATATATATATAATGGGAATCTCGGAAACGGCTCCAGCGATTTTCATGAAATTTAGTATGTGCGTAGATTCGGGGGCGAAAAATCGATCTAGCTAGGTTTCATTTTCAGAAAATGTCCTTTCATCGCCGTAAATTTCGCCGCAAAAAAATATGTTATAATAGCTCGGTCGGTAATCGGGCGGCCCCGAAACAGAAGGCTGTTGTTCGTGCCACGATAATTTACACATTTATTTTTTTACTTTTTTTTTTATTCCAGATCATTGTTTTCTTTATTTTTAATTTTTGGTCGATTTGTTATTTTGTTATTTTTTTCCCTTTTTTTTTTAAATTCTTTCTTTTGTGTAAAACATCAGTTCATATTTTCTTATTATTGCGTCGGTAAGATCGAAAAAAAATATGCATATTTCATTACTCCGTAATTTGTATCTAATTACCAAAAAAAAACAAATCCTCCGGGTACTGTCTATTATACGGTTATAGAATACATCGAGCACTAAGATATCGACGGTCCCAACGTATACAGGATGTCCCAGAACTCAATGTCAAGCCGAAACGGGGTGACAGGATTAATTGTAACCATCATGAGAAAAATCAGAAAAAAAAATCTACCCCATACAGTTTGGACATTATGGGAATTTAAGTAAAACCTAGAAATTTGCTGAGACTGTAATTATTTTTCTGTCATTATGGTTAATTTTTATTATTTTTATTCATTTAAAGTTTGGAACTGTAACCCTAAATAACAAATAAAACAATAGTTTGACCATATAGCTAGTTTTTTCTTAAATTCCCATAGTGTCCAAACTGTATGGGATAGCTTTAGGGACTTAATAATGGTATTTGTACATATTTTCTTGGAAAAATGATAGATGACTGTGTCTACGCTAATATTAAAACAAAAGCATGTCAGACATGTCTATGATACCTTTTTATAGACAGGATAAATAAAACAGTGTCGAACATGTCATTAAAATAAAAAATTTTATGAAAATTTATTAACTCTCATGCTTTACAGAAGTGAATAAAACATTAATTTTTTTATGTGAAAAGTTGCCAAGAGAGCAGGTGCGGGAGCAGGCACTTAACATCAGGTGAATGGTTCTGAATGTGAATGTGGAACCATTCACCTGATGTTAAGTGAATACCACCCCTCATTGACATTTGCTATACCCGAGGGTTTGCAGATGCGTTGACAACATCAAATATTCAATTTTTGACATGTTTTTAGGCATGAGGGCATAGTTCACAATGCAATCCCACTGCAGACTTCACATAATTTAAAAAAAAATTGTTATGATTTCGAAAACGTGCAGGTTTCCTCTCAATATTTACCTTCATTGTTGAACCAATTTCATTGGTACAAGCACCAGGATTTGAACTCAGATTGCTCAGGTATATTTAATTTGAAATATTAAGTTTGTACAATAATTAATAATATAATTATGGCATTGTCTTAATAACCTATATGTAATGTCCTATTTGAAGTAATGAATTTTTCTACAATTACTTTTAAAACAGATTGTTGGAATATTACAAAAATACTCTATACATTCCATGTAGTCTGTACTTCATTATGATACTTAATACATTTCAACTGATCCGTACTTCCTCCATTGAGGGTATATAAATGGCAACTGTTTCACAGTGTACCCTTACTTGAATAAAGACTGTCATTCTGTACGAATGTCTCTCTGTCACTGCCCTATCCCAACACAGATCATGTGTATCATTGCAGAAATTTTTAATTTTTGCAGTATATATGCATAAGTATACAAGTGTTGAATACCTGTTGTTTGACTAGTGGCACTGTATTGACAAGGAAAAATGTTCTCTTTGCCCCTTGCCCCCATTCTCCATCCAAGCTTTTCCTAAATCTTTGGATAAGACGAACTGCAATAAAAGTCTTCCCAGAACCTTCAAAATAATGAAGTTTATAAATAATTATTTTAAAAGAAAGACTGCAAGATAAAAAAAGGTTTTGCTTACCAGTTGGCAAATAAATTAAAGTATTTTTCTTAGTAGCAATTTCTTCAAGTTCCGTTTGATAAGGTCTAGGCAAAAAATCACCATCTTCAGAAGCTGGGTCTTCCATTTCAAGGTTTCCTTGGTAAGCAAAAACTTTAAAATTACTTACATTGTTTGATTCACAAAATATATATTACAGAAGTATTTACTAAAACAGAACAGACATTAACAATTTACATATCATTATGAAATATCTGTAAAATATATTCGAAAAATAACTGTAAAGCAAGAATTAATATTATGATGAAATTGTCTTTAAAATTGCTGCATGTTTCAGGGAAAAGTACATTTGGGGTGTTATGGGATTACACCTGAGAGTTACAGGACCTTTTGAAAAGTAGGCTCCGGCTACCCCACTCACCAGACGAAACGCGAAAGTATTTGTCATACTTCCACTTTACGCTAGTCTTCTGTGAGGTCGTGGTACTTACCCGGACGGGCCTGCCCATTCGTGCAACAGCCGAAGCTGCTGCGTGGCCCTCCCACAGTTAAAAGGGATGGGAGTGCCACTTTATTTCTTGTTGTAAAGTTATCGTAATACATGTATTTATTAAATATATAAACACAGTGCAGTGGCTTATTTAAAAAATATATATTGCAATACCACGTACCACGCCTGTGACTATAAATAATAATCGTTTATTGTTAAACAAATTACTTCAATTACCGCCACCGTTCTTATTAGGTTGTACTTTAATTCACCGGAAATCTTTATTCGACTCCGGTGTTGAAAGTTTGGTTGAAACTTGAATTATGAATATGAATGACACAACAAGCACAACAACGTCAACTTGGTACATCACGCTTGACATTGTCCTCACCAAACACTCATCGGCATCAACATTTGCCCGTGTTGAGTAAGTTAATTAAGAATTAACAGCTTAAAAATCATTATTCTTATTGATGTACATGTAAACTTTGTATCGTTTTCCTATTTCATTTTATAATATGATGAAATTCCAAAAAAATATAATAACTGCTATGTATTCTCCCTATATAATAGCACATCTTATGTTATAGAAACACTACTTGCGGAGTTTTATTACGTTTCTTTTTGCCTTAAAAATAGAGTTAGTAAATTAAAAAATAATATTTCTTTTTAAATTTTAAAATTATCCAAACGCTTAAAATTTTAATAAATACGAATATAAAAGAGTGTACGGGAACTTACTAACTAATTTATAATTATATACATTTAAAACTTGGGTGAAGTAACTTAATTATAATCTGCATGTAATGAAACTTTTTGGTAACCAATAAGGAAACGTCATTGTATATGAATCGGTTTTTAACGGAACAAAGACAATTACTTCTACAAGTACGTGGCAAATTTGCATTGCATCCCATCCTCTTTGAGTAAGTGTTCTGTGATTGCATCTCGTCGGATACACAGCAGCAAAGCCAAGAAACTCCATAGTGCGTTGTGTTTGAATTACTTTAAATTTGGAATGTTAGTTTTATTTGTTCAGACTGAATTTTGTCATATTTGATAGATTCCGTAAAAATTGTTTGTAGAAGTAACATGTCTAAAATAAGTTCAAAATGTTTAAGTTGAAATAAACAGTTTTCTTTCTTGAATGGTGGATGTGGCTCATGGGATCGCTCTCAAACCAAAAAGACACTTAAGGACTGATAGGAAAACTGTTTATTTTAACTTAAACATTTTGAACTTATTTTCGGACCAAACGTAGTGATTATGAAATTTATATAAAATACAAGAGTTATGTCAGACAGCTAGACATGTTACTTCTACAAACAATTTTTACGGAATCTATCAAATATGACAAAATTCAGTCTGAACAAATAAAACTAACATTCCAAATTTAAAGTAATTCAAACATAATACATAAATCAAATAGGTCAAGAGTTGATATCAAAAGAGTATGTATAATCTGAGATTACCAATCAACACACCCCCTTAATCTCAGATATACATCATAACACCAGACAAGTACAGAAACCCAAAAAATTTAGAAATTATCAACAAACAAATCCCCAATCATAAAACAACAATAACAATCTCTCAACAAAAACAAAAACTCGTTAACTATAACTCAAACCAGAAAAATACAAAAAACACAATACATTATAAAGGAAGAGATATCAAAAATTTTGTAAAAAGTTTCTCCGAAAAATTCCGTTTTGAATTCCGATCCTTTCCCTTACTAATATCTCATACACACGCTTCCAAGGCGCGAATTTCTGTTATTAACACCCCCTTACATTAGCACTACCTACACTAAAAGGTTTAGAATGAAAATACCTAAAATTCTTAATAACGTCTATCAAGACATTAACACCAATGTGTCACATCAAAGCAGGTTGTTTTAGATCGTAAAGACTTCAGCCCACAACTCTTCCCCTTCAGCCTCTTTTTCACCAACCAACTCCCACGCGCCATTCCTCTCCAAAGAAAAACCTCTGCTCCTCCACAGCCATCAACTATCGCTCCGTCTCACCAGAGCCAACCGCCTCCCCAAACGTAAAAGTGCACACAGCCAAAAAATCCACAACAATCCTTATACCTCTCAGGTAAAGACCTATTTATCGGTGGATCCCACCCTGGACCCACAAACTCCGCCACAACCTCCGTCTTCCCGTCCATAAAGACCTATTTCTCGGTGCATCCCTCCCTGGACTCACACCCTCCGCAACAACCTCTGTCTCCTCTTCACAAAAACCTATTTCTCGGTGGATCCCTCCCTGGACTCACACCCTCCGCAACAACCTCCATCTCCTCTTCACAAAAACGTATTTCTCGGTGGATCCCTCTCTGGACCTACACCCTCCGCAACAACCTCCATCTCCTCTACATAAAAACCTATCTATCTCCACTCGCATCCAAAAAACCATCAAAATCTCCTTTATTCTCTACAACTTCTTCATCCTGATTATGAACAAAATTCACGCTCCTCACATCTGCAACTGTTTCCTCACAAACTACTTCATTTGTTTCTGCACTCTCCTCATTCCCAACAACGTCAATTGTTTTTTTTTCAATTGTTCCCTTTTGAATTCTTTCTTTTTTCAATTATTTCTTCTTCATCATCATGCCTTCATTTTATTCATGGATAATAAATCCTCACTCATGGTCGCAGTCTGCTCGTTATTTTTCAAATATCTTCAAAATCCGCAGCAGTTATTTTCAAAGTAATTTACTAATTTAATTTGTTTCAAGTCTTGAATGATAGTATCTTTTTCTAATAATTTTTTGATGGGCTCGTCCATCTTTGAAAATTTCTTTGCAGCTGTCACTTTTGCTAAAAAACTGGAAAATCTCCAAAAAATATAGATGTTTCTGGGCCCATAACCTCTTGAATGGTGGATGTGGCTCATAGGATCGCTCTCAAACCAAAAAGACACTTAAGGACTGATAGGAAAACTGTTTATTTCAACTTAAACATTTTGAACTTATTTTTTGGACCAAACGTAGTGATTATGAAATTTATATAAAATACAAGAGTTATGTCAGACAGCTAGACATGTTACTTCTACAAACAATTTTTACGGAATCTATCAAATATGACAAAATTCAGTCTGAACAAATAAAACTAACATTCCAAATTTAAAGTAATTCAAACATAATACATAAATCAAATAGGTCAAGAGTTGATATCAAAAGAGTATGTATAATCTGAGATTACCAATCAACATTCTTATCACTCCTTAAGTGTCTTTTTGGTTTGAGAGCGATCCCATGAGCCACATCCACCATTCAAGAGGTGGATCCCTCCCTGGACTCACACCCTCCATCTCCTCATAAAAACCTATTACTCGGTGGATCCCTCCATGGACTCACACCCTCCGCAACAAATTGTATATCCTACAGATTCTTTCTCTTATTTAGAAATATTTTAACGTGACATATCTGAATGAATATGAGTAAATGGATTAATTACTTTTAGTACAGAGGTGAAAAAAAGAGATCATAAGGTTAACTAATATGTACTTAAGTGTGTTAGTGGACAACGTAAAATTTCCGTTATGCTATCCAAACACCAATAAATCCTATCATGTTCGGTATACTGAAAATTTTTCCCTTGCAACTTATTTTTTATTTCTTTTGCAATGACATTATGTCTGAAGTCTGTATCTCAATAACCGTGGTAGCTAGACGGTTTCAATTTTCATAGATGATGTATATCTGTTGCCGCTATAACAACAAAGCTCTAACAGGCTACAACAAACATGATATTTTTTCCGTTTTTATAGATAATAGTTTTAATAGTCGGAACCCTTTGTGCACGAGTCTGACTCGCACTTAGCTGGTTTTATTAAAGGTTGTGAACGTAAGAGGCAGTTACAAGCCCTTGGGTATTGTAGATATCCCCGAACGGGAAATTCATCAACCGTCAGCTCGATCGACAATTTCACAAAAAAATATACATTATTAGATTAATTGATTGAATGTTTATTGATGGATGGATGAATGGTACTCTATTCTTGAATTTAAGCACCTGGGGAACAATTTCTTGAATTCTATTATTATTGATGAATCAGATTATTCTTTAAACTGTTCGGGATTCTTTTGTCTCAGCAAATGTAATAATTATTTACTTGTACATATTTTTTTTTTTAAATATACTAACAAGGAATAAAACTTAGAATTGTAGCTTTTATGTGCCACTCAACAACGAATCTGTGCAAGGATGTGGAAATAGACGCCCTAATAATACAAGGCATAACACGATCCTACGGTTAGTACGAAACTTACCTTAGACCGCCATTGATATTGAAACTACACAGGAATTTATAAGGTTAAAATTGAGATTTAGTCAAGAGGCATACTCGAAACGACAATTACGAGATATTAAAACACGAAAACATTTTATCTTCAGAAACAACAGAATTTAATTATATTCTGTTAGCACTAAGTTCTTATAGAGGAGTGATGATAGACATTACGCATTGAGCCCAAATTGGATGCGAGAAGGAGTGCTGATGTCTTTGAATACAATACAGAAATTGGGGCTTTTGAAAATTGCATTTTTTTAGGGCTATAATTAGTTGGCAACACTGTCTGATGATGATTTCCACAGAGTACTGTATATGTTATATACAGAGTATATACTGAACTTTTGGTGATTTCTTTGACGGTTGACATTGACAGCTGTCAAGAGAATCGAGAGATGATGGCCTGTGGCCATGGTGAACATAGACTTAAAAATTGAAAGATTAATATGCGTTACGGAATTTTAAATGTTTGTACAAATTTTACGTTTATTACATTCATTTTTATCCTGGTTTTTGTGAATGTAGCTTCTCCTGGAGGTAAATACAAATCTCCAACAGTAGTCAAATTTTTGAAACTTTTAAGCCTGACGTCTATCATGAAACGCTTCTCAAAACTATTTAATCAATGATTTTTAGAAAATTCAATGTTTATTTCATATTTTTTTCACCTTTTCAGCTAATGATTTGCATTTCAATGATGGTGCATCAACTGCTGATGTCATTGCTGGAGACGTGTTTTTTGAAATAATTGATCCTCCTGAGTTGAGATATTCCTATAGAATTAGACCGGCTAAGGATTTTGGTGCCACATTCGTACGTTTTTCAAAAGTTATGATGATTATTAACTTTAACCGCAGAAAAATTTGATGAATCTTATTTATACTTAGTTTTGTTTTACATCTTTGATTGTTAATATTATGGTACAAGACAAACAGTATAAATGAGAATTTGTGTTTATTTTGCAGAATAATAGCATACATTTTGAAAAAGCTAGACTAGTCCCCACAGTGCCAATACATAGTTGTGCAGATATTGTTAATGTTGAAGAAGTTTTTGGACACATAGCATTGTCGGAGAGAGGGTAAGATTTTTCAACTGGCTAAAGCTTGACTCCCATCTCTGCTTATAAGTATGTATTGATGTGTGTCAGATGGTAAAAACACTAGCTTAGTATGGAACTATTTACATTTCCCCTTATTTTGCAAATGATTTATATATGATATGATGATTATATATATATTGAAATGATTTATATATGATGATATTTTTATACACAAACTTTAAAATTAACTAAAAAGACCAAGAGGAAATAGTATATTTTGTACAGTCAGATAATAATTAATGACTTATGTGGGGGAAAACTTGAAATTATTATCTCATTATAACAATTTTTTTAACTAAAATTTAACAACAACATTTGATATCACTATCTAATTTATGGGGTTAAAATTGTATTAAGTTAAGTTAAGTTATGTCAAAATTATGTATCTCAAAAATGTTATTCACATAAGTTATGTCTTATGCACTATAAGTCAGGATAATATATGCTCTGTATGTCACTATATGTAAAGTCTTTCTATATTTGCTGTTAGCAAATTGAAGTGAATAGTAGAAATATGAATATGTTTGATAATATTTTGTTTTAAATTAGTCTATGTTTTAACACACACTAGACATTTATTGTATTATCTACTGATTTATGAATGATATTTGAAACAAAAAAATATTAAAAAAGGAGTAAATCAAAAGTTTTAATTATACAGGGAGATTTTTTGAGAAGTGCCCAAATTTACACAGGAGGTTCAGACTCAGTAGTATAATCGTTTATTGAAATAAAAACAAACATTTTTTTTTAAAAAATGCCATTCTATTCCCTAAAAAACAGAATGTGTTGACAATGCGGTAGTCATTCATAAATACCTAAATTTTACTGTGCACATACTTGTGTGAGTGTTACTTATGAATGATCGCGCATAATATAAATGAGTTGTGTATAAATCACACACTTTTTGAGATAAGTTCAAATGAATGTAATTAATTACTTAAGAGTGATTTTAAATGTTTATCATTTTTTATGTAACCTAATTTATGTCTAGAATTTAATTAAAAAAAAATGGAAATACTTAGAAAAGCCAACCTGTATATTTTTTGTATAATATAAAGAACTATGCTACCCATGGTTATGAGTAAATAGCTTATTTCGTCCTCTAGTTTACAGTTAAACAAGTTCTTAGTGTGAAGAAAAATTTTTTTAATATTTTGAGGGGGCTGGGGGGATGGGTGAAATATTTATTATGAATAAATCAATATAATAAAAACTTAACTCCTGACAGTAATGCACTTCAAAGTAATATATTTCTTCTTCTATGTAATTACAGGGAGTGCTCTTTTGTTTATAAAACAGCCAAAGCACAGCAAGCTGGAGCTCTGGCAATAATCATAACAGAGTCTGTTGATAAGTGGGATGATTCAGGGATAGATCACCTGATAGAAATGGTTGATGATAAGTAAGTAATGCTAGTATTTGATGTCATTTAGTTGTGTGTATTTTGTTATGGTGTGACAATTAAATAAAGATGTAAAGTGAAGCAAGAATAAATATGAATATGTTAGATTAATGCTTTCTATTAAAGTTTAATAAAAGGACTTGTATTTTACCTTTAATATTGCTGTAATATTAATTGTAACTTACAAGTACATCATTTGTTCAAATATTATCATGAATAGCATTTAATATTATTATCTGATGTAATTTAAGAATATAATTATTAATTTTTAATCTATACATTAAATGTAGATTTTATTTGTTGAATAATTTTCTTTGCTGTGGGTGTCAAATTTGCATATTCTGGGTAACTTGCTTAAATGCTTTAACCAAACTTTTTGCTTTTTTACTAAAATGCTTGCCACAATCAAATGTATGCATATTTTGCTGCTGTATAAATACACCATGCATGTACAGCTATATAATATAAAGACAGTATATTTTCTTGTTACAGAATGGATGTAGATGTAAATATACCAGCAGCTTTTCTCCTTGGCCGAAGCGGAGGAACAATACTCAGAACTTTAAGAAGACTGCATAGAAATTATGCTATAATAAATCTACCTGTAAATATGACTCACACACCAATAGGTAAAATGAATCAACCTCCATGGATCTCATGGTAACATATATTTTTTTATTTTCTAGGTCACTCATTGTTATGTAAATTATGAAAGGTCACAATTTTGTTTGTTAGACTGTTGTTCATTTTTTGTCGTCTTTAATTATTTCTACAACAAGACAAAAACAAAAATGCCAAAAAAAATTTTAATTGTAACTTAGTGAAAATTATATACTATCTACTTTCCTAGGTATTCTTATTATTTAAATTCAAAAGCTGTTGTTAGAGCTCTTTCAGTGTTTTGAAAACTTTATAAGGAAAACAGATAGTTACTTATTATGAAAACTATGGGACTAGTATAGTGAATTCTATTTTGTCAAATATCATGTGGAGTTGTTAATTGAGGTTTATGTTAATATTTATTGTAACATTAAATTTTTGTTGACCATTGTTTGTTCAAATGTAAAGCTTAGAAAAACATATTTTATTTTGTTTTCTCCTCCTTATACTGAGCATCACATTAGATAATAATCTTTTAACAATGAAAAAATCACCTATACGGTAAATATACAATGGTAATTGGGAATATATGTTCTCAAATAGCATTCCCATACTTACAGACATAACGTTGGAAGTCCTCATATTAGTTGGGCCGACGACATCGTAATATTCGCGGCCAACCTGTGGTTGATAATGGCAACCTGTCGTTTGTTGTAGCTTTCTAAAGGGAGGGTCTTTGTTCAACATGGAAGTCTTCTGCCTGATGATGATGATAATGATTATGTTCAGATTTAGCATAAAATTCCAAGCTCATATTCTAAAGTATCACCAATTCCTTTTATAATTATGAATTGAATGTTATTTTTTTATCTGACAAGGTGGCATCATGTTCAATGATTACCGCGCTCATGGACTTTTGCAACCCTGTAGGGTTAGAGATGCGTTGCCACCATTTAATACATTGGGCTCCAGTTATCTTACTCACCACATGAAATGCAACACTTCCACTTCACACCGGTCTTCCGTGAGCTAGTAGTACTTTCCTAGGCGGAACTGCTCATGTGTGTTGTGCAAAAGCGAAAACTTTTGCATGGCCCTAACACAGTTAAAATAATAAGATCAATAATAAGATGCCACTTATATTAAACATTACTGTTTTGGCCCTGTATTTGCAGTAAGTGCAATTAATCTGCATTTGATAGTTTGAAAGATTAAAAGCAATGTTTATTTTTATTTCAAGCCACTTATTAGAATAGAGAGCATTTTTAGAACCATTAATTAGTGTTACGAGTTGAGTGTTGTTATTTTAGTTAACTTAATTTTATAAGCTTATTGCCCGTTTTGCAATGATGATTTGCACAAGCAAAAATGAATTAAAATTTGCCCTAGCAACATTTTTTTTATGTGTATAATGTTTTCAGTATAATTATTACAAAGATTGTGATCATGTGATATTTCTCCTTAATGTTCAAATGCCTTTTTTATAATGTTAATTATATTTTATTCTGCATGTAAATTTGAAATATAATGTTGACCCAATTTTTTTTACTATAAAATATACGAGCAAGGAATAGTACCGTAAAATTCTAAAATCACACAGTGACACATCGTCGAAACGTGGCGTAGCGCTGGCCATATAGCTCATAGAACCGATAACCGAAAGGGAAGAAAGGATCGAGGCAGCCTCGTATTGTCTTTCGCAGTGCCGGACGACCCCCCATTAGATGGATTGACGACCTGTGCCAATGTGCAGCAAGACGATGGATGCAGGCGGCTCAGGATCGTGCTTCGTGGCAGTTTGTGGGGGAGGTTCAGCAGTTAACTCAAACAGGCTGAAATGATGATATGTTGATGATAATTTTCACAGAAAAAAATAAAACTTGTTTGGTGTACTTAGAAAATTAGGTGACTTCGCCCCGCCATAAACGACACGCTCGTTTTTAGTATTCAAATATTTTAATCAATAGAGAAACATATCCGAAACAAATCATAAATTAAAAATTTACCAGTTTTCCATTGCAATGGGAACTTGTTATTCTGCATTACCAAATACCAATTACCAACACAGCTATATCAGATTTGACATAAGCATAGATTATAGCTGCGGGTAAATAGTTAAGCGGGATTAAGGTTAGGAAATGAGGTGGAGATGGAATGGCCAATGGCTCACTTGGTTCTTGACTCAGTTCTACGCGGGTGCGAGTTTATTACATTTTCAACCTGATATAGAACTGAAGATAATTTTCGAACCTATAAATCTATGTAGATTTGATTTGATATATTTAATAAGCGGATCGCATGAACCAAAATAAGGCATATTAGGCGGCATATTTTACTACCCTATATTCATTGAGTTCATGTAAAAAAAAACGAACGATAAGTTTCAGAAGTAACGAATTCGGCGTTGTCATCGTTGAATAAGCCTTTTGGTTTCGTTAAGCGGGCCTGCGTATTCACATCTGGTATGCACAAACGCTTTAGGCAGGTTCTCGTTTCTTACTAGGCGTAGATCCTCTAGCACTGTAGTCACGGGCTTATACAATAGGGTTAAGTTATCCCCTGCCTGTCGTTAGAGGCGATTAAAAGGGACGACGACACGGACTGGCATTAGCAGTACGGAGTGGTCTCGAGCAAGTTTGAGGGAATCGGGGAAGGTTTATCTTTCAAGAGAACCAAGGCTTATTTAGTAGTTTCTCTTTTTACCTTGGATATCTCGATTGAAAACTGCCTTACTGGAACTTTTTTTGAGTACTGAACTTTGTCGTTTGCTCGTATTTTTTTTTCTTTTTTAATTATGATAACGATATAGCGTTGGTGTTGCCGTTAAGGAAGCTCTACAGACGAGATTGCGAGATTTGCGGACCGCGGAGATTTGGAGAATAACTTTACTCCAACTGTTAAATACGGAGTAATAATTGAATTCATTATTAATAGATATGGGGGTAAGTAGAGAGTAAACTATTCCGAATGCACTCTCGGAATTAAATTTATTTCCTGGGGCCAAAAAGTTTAATGACTGACTAGATTTGACTTTGATGACTCCGTGGCGCAGTTGCCAAAGTATTAGCTTCGGCGTCGGGGGTCGTGGGTTCGATTCCCAAACGGGACAACTATTTTTGTGACCCACAGATAGTTGTTTCGTATCTGGGTGTTTGTTTGTGTGAAAATTATGTTTGTAAAACGTCCTTACAACACAGGATAATGTTATCCTAAACTAAAGTAAGGGCAATATTTTTGAAAAAGAAAACAAAAAAAAGATTAGTGCATGTGTGATGGCGTGTTTTGACATTTATCTGAATTCTTCATAAGAGCAAAGACAATGAATTGTGTCCATGCGTCTCTCATTATAGTTTGCTGTGCTTTGCGCTAAAAAGAGAGATTACTTGAGGGGGTTTAAAAGCAAATAGCTTTAATTAAGAGTACAAAAATAACTGAAACGTTGTTGAAAGCCAAGCTGTTCTTTTCTGTAGTTCAAAATTGTACATTATAGCTAATAATGGATAAATTAAATTAGGAAACACAAAAACGTTTAACACAGAGCTGTAACTTCTGTAATATTTATGTTTATTTAATTTAATCAGACAAAGGGTCTTGATCGATAAGAGAGGCAAAATGAAAGCAAGCAACTTTTGGTGAAATATAATATAAATACAAAAAAAAATAGTAGAAATATTATTTCAAATTGGAGAAAGAAATTATTTCCTTTTACACGCGACTGCAGTTAATTTAAAAAATACGTTTGAGCATGTTTTTTTGGATACACGTACATGCAAAAACGCCTTTATGTTCCCTCGTAATTAATAAATGATTGAACTGATTTTAAACATGTCTTTAGATTCATCTTTGTTTCGAGATTCCCTGGGTATATTTAAATGGCGAATTTTTGTCGCCAAAAGAATGTTTTCAATAGATTTTTCTTTCTGCAGTCAGGTTTTTTATTTTATTACAATAATACATAATAAGATTTATTTTCGAATCAATGTTTAAGAACATTTGCTATAAATGTTATTAAGGTCGTAAGTACATGCCGTTTTGGCGGATGAGCGAATTCCCCATTTAATTCCAGTGGAATATTAAATTTTTATAGCGACGAATTTGGTAACATCAGCACAGAAACAGTGCACCATAAAATTCATCTTATATTCATCAGAAAACTGGCAGCGTGAAGTGAAATTTTTAAACTTTCGCGTTTCCGTTGTTGAGTGAGGTAACCGAGCCCCACATTTTTAAAGATTGTCAACGAATAAGCAAGCAATCGGGTGCTGTAGATATCCATGGGCGGCGGCATTCATTTATCACTGGGTGAACATCCTGCTCGCTTGACAACATTTCACATAAAAACGTATTTGCTTTTTCTTTTATTAAGGTAAGTTTGTTTATATGCAATACAGACCAGGTATTCCAACGTGTTAATAATAAATACAGGGAGGCTTTTCTAAGTGTATCCATTTTTTTATATTAATGTTATATAAAAAATGATAAATACTTTAAAGCACTCGTAAGTAATTATTTACATTCATTTGAACTTATCTCAAAAAGTGTTCTGTTTTTAGGGAATAGAATGGTAAATTTTTGAAAAAAAAAAAAAAAAAGAATAGTTTGTTTTTATTTCAATAGATGATTATACTACCGAATCTGAATCTCCTGTGTAAATTTGGACACCTTTAAAAAAAGCTCCCTGTATATTTACCTAACTGGTATGCATACTTGTGTTTTTATAAAAAAATGTTTTATTTTAATTATTTTTATAAAAATCAAATCTATATATAGAATCAGCCTTAAACCAGTTGTACCAAAGACTTGTTTGTATGTGCTCCTTTTTGGTCCTTAAATACTCAATTACGTTACCCCTAACTGTTTTAGAGTACCTCGTTTTTTTTCTTAACGGTATTAAGATTAACTGTATAATAGCTGAACTAAAAAATTAAAATGGTGCAATCGCGTGTATTGTCGGAACACGCAATGTTGGTATTAACAAACTATCGTTACACAAGGTAAGCTTTACCGCACCACCGAATTATATAAAACTTTCATTCGTTCTTTCAAAACATTAAGAGTCGTTGGATTAAATGCAGCGCATGTACATTATTAAACGTTCAGCATACGTTAGAACGTCTGAAATTGTTTTGATTGTTGTCGGTAGGACTGAAATCTGTATCTGCACAGGGCACTACGTAATTTGCTAATTAGAAGTTTTCTTTTATAAGAAATTAGATACTACTTTTTTATAATATTTTGCTATATAAATAAGAATAAGATTATTTACGTAAAGTAATGATTCCAAGATCATTCACTTCAAAATTTAGTTCTTTATTAGATGTACTTTGCTGATGCATTGTGAAAGGAATTAAAGGGAATTGCTGTTTGAAGATCTTAATATAAATTTATTAGATGTTGGTCTTATATTTAATATTTTGGCGAATCCCAAAAGTGGAACAATAAAACGAATTTGCGGCCTTGTTCAAGTCAACAAACAGTAATTCCCGTTTAATATATATATTGAGCCGTGATAGCTCAGTGTCCGGGCGCTCGCCTTTAATTCAATATACTCGAGCAACCTGAGTTCGATTCCCGGTGCTGGCACCAATGAAGTTTTTAAGTTTAAGTGCTGACTTATCACGTGCTCCGCGGTGAAGGAAAACATCGTGAGGAAACCTGCATATTTTCGAAATAATACCAAAAAAAAAAAATATATATTTCGAAAATATGTGAAA